AACCTTCAAATCATCATTAACTTAAAATGAATATAGTTTTGCTGCATTTGTATTAAAACTTTTTTCTACATCCACTACTGCAATAATAACAGGTAGGTTTCTACAACAAAATATTTGGTTGAAACAACATTGAAAACCATGTTCATTATAGGGAWTAGTGATTTTATCTATATTAATCTGTATATTTCTTTTTACCTCAGAGATTTTGAACATTGGGGGGTTTAGAGATTTCCTTTGTCCATAACTCACCTCATAAATAACATTGCTTGTTGGATTTCTAGAAAAAAAAAAAAAAAAAGCAGTCCTTCCCATTAAAGCAAACACATGATCAGAAAACAAAAATCAGTGATCTAACTCAATGCTAGAGGTGCAAGGTGGCCAGTCATGAGTGAAGAGCAAATAAACCTTCTGGCCCTTTTGTACAAGGCAGTAACTTTTGGAGGCAGAGTAGGGGAAGAGATAGGGGTAATCSCCCTTCAGTTGCTGGTGTCTAAATGAAACAGGATTTGCAAAAACAGATTTTCAGTCCAGTGGCTGGTCCTAGTCATTGTGATTACACTCACATTAGTAAATTAAACAAGTCTGAGACCAGTCTCTGTCCCTGAGGCCAGCTGGCACAGGGCATCCAGTCTATGAAAGCCTCAAAAAGTCCATGAAAGCACAGTCTGCCTATTTGCAACAGCAGGATGGATGTATCCCCTAACCCATATCCTGGAATATTTTGGGACACTGCTCATTGGCCCAGGCTAAAACCATGTAAGGATTATGAGAATCAGTAGAAACAACTGAGTTCTGCTGCTCAGGAACATCCCTGACACTGTTTAATTTGCTGCTATGGGCAGAGCTTTAAAGCATCTGTACACTTTCCACACTTTGGTCTGTGCCAATGTCCTCACCAGGTCCTTGTGGCAAGAGCCCGCACAGGCCATGGCATTTCTTGCCCTGAAATCAAATGCTCCCAGATGTGTTACCTAAGAGCTCAGACTCCTGTGTACTGAGGAATTCCCTTGATCCCTGGCTCTTCCCTACTGCCCAAGCACCAGGAAYTCTGTCTGCACAGAAGTACAGGTACAGCAAAACTTCCAGCTGCCCTCGGGTGCAAATGCTGACACCAACATCCAAGTGCTGTAAAATGCAGCCGGAAAGGGGAAATGTCCCAAACCTCTGCAGCTGCTTGCTAAGGAAAGCTGTCCTGAAGCTGTGCCTGAGCTTGCCAGGGCCTGCTCAAAAAGGATTTTCTGTTTGGAGGCACTACGACTACTTTTACTTTCTGTATCTCCAATGCAGCTTTAAATGTCAGTGGAAAACTACTGATTATGGGGAAAACCAACTGAACCACAACCGAGAAAACAGGGCATAAGGATTCCCTGGTATATCGTTACCTGAACTGCAGATTCAACTCCTCCGCAATTATTCATTAACGTTAATGTTAACTAATGTGCTCACCAGCTTTTTCCAGCATGGTAATGCCCAATTTCACCCCTGCAAAACCCATCCAAGAATTCTTGGCATGTTGATACCCTCCGAATGACTAAGCCTGCCATAGAAAAAGGAAGTAGAATCAGGGAATTTTAGGAAGGAAAGGGTCTGAAATGATACACACAGCTAAGAACAGATAACTGCATACAGAAAAGGAAGGAATTTTAAGGGCTTGGGCAAAGAAGGAAAGTAGGAATACACACAAATAGGAAGAAAAATACAAATACTTTTTGCAAGGGCACAATAAGGGATTTGCATGGAAGGGAAAATGGGAGGAAAGGAGTTGGAAGGACTCTGAAATGAGGAGAAAACAAAATGGGACAAATCAGACAAAAGAGAAATTATGTGTGTCCTGGTATAGAGCAGGCAGGAGCATGAGGGACTCTTGTTCAGGGAGGAGAGAGCATACACAAGGACAGCCTGGAAAGAGATAGAGCAAGCAAAACCACCAAGAAAAAACTGATGAGCCTATCTAATTGAGTACCAAGAAACTATATGTTGCAAAGTGAATTTTAAGAGACATTTCAGGCTTGAACACTCGTTTTTACAAATTACAAAATTAAGGGCTTGGAATTGTACATAGAATCACCTCCCAGTAGCAAAACAGAAAATAACGCTCCTATAGGAGCACACCAAAAGCCATTGTTTGGAATGACACTACCCTCTGGTGGTCAAAAAGTACAATTATATGTACACCGGGAAGTAAAATATGCGCATCTGGTCGTACGGGTAACTAAAAGATGCAATCAATTCCAGTCCACACTTCAGTAATCCACCTCGAGACCAAGTTGTTAAATCAAATATCTACCCTATTAGTCTGTTTTAAAATGACAAATTCATGACGGATCATATGCACAAGTAACTGTCAATGGCCGTGAAAGAGACTAGGGCTTTTCTGCTTCCACATTACAGCTACAGAACTTCATTGCCGAGAAAAGCAGTTACTTCAATGCATAGTTTTCATGGAAGTGCTTTGAAATTTATGTAATGACTTWACACAGTTGCGTCCCCTGCATTGCCTCACTCACCTTTTTTGACATCTAATCTTGTACAAACAGTAAAAGCCAAACATTAACTGCTCTGTCATTTTCTCCTTTCCTCTCTTTATATCATCACTGCTCAATTGCTGGGATTTTCCCCCCTCTCCTGTTAAAAACAACCCTATTTCTCAAAGCCAAATGAGCCTTCCAAATGCTCTTTTATCCCCAGACTTCATAAGCCCAGGTGTCTCAATGGTCCTACATTTCYGGAAAAGAGGAAGAGCTTGTCACGTCACTCCCTTCTAAAGAAACAATTTTGTATGTTTCAACTTTGATCTTTATGGTCGGCTGACCTTCAACTAAAAGTTTGCTGGTGCTGYTTGGAAGCAGTGTATCTGTGTATTGCACCCTTGCAAGAAACACACTGTCCGGACCTTGATCAGGCGAAAGTCATTCCTGCGAGGTTTGATAAACTGTCATTGATGCCACCTTGTGGCAAAACTACTAGATATTGGAATTCTCGAAAAACATTCAGCATTTGCCCCTCCTTTCAAGTGCACCAAACTGCAGCACAGTGGTTACTGCTGCTTGCAGCGCTTCAGATTTAGAGTTCATAAAATCAGGATCTGGGCACTCCTAGAAACATGTTGCCACTCAGTGACAGAGAGGATAAAAAGGTAACAAAACACTCTGGCGAGCGGTACAACCCATTCCAAACAATGTGAAATAGCACTGCTAGGAGAGACTGAAGGAAAACTCAGCCTCAGCCTAACAGGATAGGAAGCATTTCCCAATTACCTCACTCTGGGCTCACCCTTCTCAGTTACCAGGCCCAAACAAATATCCTAAAGGAGCACATGCCTATTTTTTCRGGACAGTCCCAATGCCATTCAGAATCCTGCTATGAATGCCATCATTACCACAATCAGCAGAATGAGGACAGTGCCTATTTTTAGCATTGCTTCCACTGGAGAAGCCCAAGAATCACCACCTGCTTCCTTCGGGCACTCTGTCAAACACCCTTCTCCCAGCAAGTGAGTGGGAGGAAGAGGCTGAATCAATCACCTGCATTTTGCACCAGGTTCCCAAAAACAGAGGAAAGAAACACCTCTTGTTACAAAATGTGGAAAATGTAATTTTTTTCTTAAGAAAGGATGTTCTCTAGTCTTTGTACATTTCAAGCCTAATCAACAAGAAGGGAGATTTAAYCCATGAAACAGAGCAGCCAACAAGCTCTAGCTGATGTCTRGATGTTAGAAAGACAAATTAATTGTCAGTAAAATGGCCTTGTTAAGGTTTAGGGCTCAAAATATTTCAATTACTTCRGACCTAGAGAGAGCTTGGGAAGAAGGGTGTACTGCTGATAGTGGACACAATACAGACTTTACGGGCCACAAGGACATTTGGCAGAACTCRCAAGATAAGGAAGAAACAAGTAAAGACAACTTGGCAACAGTGCTGAATTAGCTCCAACCGGGTAAAAGAATAATTCTGACAGGGGGAGATCCTGACTACCAGCTCATGCACCACTGACCCAAGAAACCCACCAGAAAACAAACAAAAAAAAAGACAAACACTGAGCATGCGGACTAATTAGCATGAGAAGTGAGAGAATCATTAAGCAATAGAGGATAAAGTACTAACTAATAAGAGAACTACGTAACTTGTAGCCAACGAATAAATCTTACAAGGCGTGGCTGAAGGAGCTGGAGGTGCTTTGTCTGCAGAAGAGGAGGCTCAGGGGGAACCTTAKTTCTCTACAATCATCTGAAAGGAGGCTGTAGCCAGGTGGGGCTCTGTGTCTTCTTSCAGGTAACAAGTGAGAATATGAGAGGGCATAAGCTTTAGCTGTGTCAAGGGAGGTTTAGGTTGGATACCAGGAGAAATTAACTTCGTAGAAAGGGTGATTAGACATTGGAATGGACTGTCCAGGGAGGTGCTGGAGTCACCATCCCTGGAGGTGTTTAAGGAAAGCCTGAATGTGGTGCTCAGTGCCATGGTTTATTGCCATGGTGGTGCTCGGTCACAGGTTGGACTTTATGTCATATTAGAGGTCTTCTCTAATCTACTTGATTCTGTGATTCTGCGATTTTGCAATGTCTGTGCGTGCTACAAGGTAGAAATAGTAAAAAAAGTTCTGATAGTTGGCATGCTCTTTCAGCTGAACACCATCGAGCACCCAGGCTTGCACRACTCTTAATAAATAACCAATGTCTCTCTTTCGAGCTGACTGCAGACCGCGGGGTGAGGGATATGATTTCCGCGGACACCCGGGGCCGTGTGGGCCGCCGGTGGCGGTGCCAGCCCGGAGCTGCTCGGCGGTGCCAGCCCGGAGCTGTTCGGCGGTGCCGGCCCGGAGGTGCTCAGCGGTGCCGGTGCCAGCCAGAGCCGTTCAGCGGTGCCGGTGCCGGCCCGGAGGTGCTCAGCGGTGCCGGTGCCAGCCCGGAGCTGTTCGGCGGTGCCGGTGCCAGCCCTGCCCGCTCCCTCAGCGCCCCGCGCGCCCCGCCCGCATGCGCGGTGCCGCAGTTCCCGCCGGAGGGGGCGGTGCGGCCGAGCCCGCGCCCGGCCCCGCGCTGGGGCTGGAACCGCTCCCGCAGCCACGGACGCACCGCAACGCCGATCCCGCCGGGAAATCGGCTCCCCTCCCGTTCCCCCGCGGCACGGGGCCGAGTCCCTCCCTTCCCTCCGGCAGGCTGAGGGAACGGGGGAGCTCGGTCCGTCCCGCGGCGGAGRGGCTGAGGGGCAGCAGAGCCCCCTTCTCCCCGCTGCCCTCGCCGTGCTTTTCCACCGCAGGGAGAGAGCTTCCTTGTCGTAACCCSTGCCCTGGCAGGGAGCGGGATCCCCCTGCCCTCACGCCTGCCCTTTGCTCCGCCAAGCCGAGGGTGAGTCAGGCGCCTCGCAGGTGGCAACAGAAGCTGACTYCTACCTCCAAGGGAAAGCGGGAGCATTTTCCCTCTCTCTTCTGCTTTCTTTCTCTCCGAAGGTGGTGGGGCTGGACCTTTCGCGAACCYTCGGGCCTGTGAAGCTCCGGGCATGGCTTTCGGTGGGGTCGGGAGCTCCCTGCTGCTGATGTCCGGCGTCGTGGTGACCGTGGGGCTGTGCCGGAGGCTCGCCAGGCGCCGGCTGCGCTCCCGCCCGCTCCTCTTCGCTTTCCTTGTGGAGATGTTCAGCACCTTCCAGATTTGCGCCTGCACGAACGAGCTCAGCCTGCTCGGCAACGTAGAGCCGAAGCCGCACACCGCCCTCACCCTCACCTACGGCTTCACCGTCCTGCACGGCCTGACCCTGACCGGCAGCACATGCAATCCCTGCGCGACCCTGCAGCCCATGTGCGACGGCGGGACATCGCTCAGGATGGGAGGACTCAAGATCGCCGCTCAGTTCGTGGCTGCAGTGCTCGCCAGAGTGTTCATGCACTTTATCTGGAGTCTGGAGATGGCAGAGCCACATTTGGGAGCGCTCTCGCAAGGCTGCAGCGACCCTATGCAGACTACAGAGGTGCAGGCGTTCTGCATAGAACTGCTCTTTTCCGTCGTTTTCCAGCTGGCCGTCCTGCGAGCCGAAAGTGTTAATCCCAAATACAGAGTCCATTTGATTGCTCTTCTCATCACCATGCTCGTGTATGCAGGTYAGTCTTCTTTCTTTTTTTCTTCTGCTCCTGCAATAAAGTTGTGATGGAAGGGGTTCTTACTGTTTTCTTAGACGTATTAAGATGCAAAATGTTTTTTCTTAGATTACGCTTTCCTTTATGTTTTCTTTTTGTATCATCCTACGTATGCAAGTTCATTTTGCATTCATATAAAGTTTGCCTGGTTGCATTACAGGCAGGTATGGGTTTAAGAACGAAATGAGTTACACATTTAAAATTATGCCAGGTTTTGTAAGTACATATGGTTAAGTGTTAAAATATCTCAGTGAAGGATTGTTTCATAATCCAACTATTTATACAGTGTGAGAGATTTCATACTATGTGCTCTGATTACTAAGTGACATTGGGAGAGCACCGCTGGCTCCATCAGGAGAAAGTGCTGATTGTGCAATAGCAGGGTACAGACTGGTAACATGGAAACTCTGCATTTAAATAATGTATAATTCATATCAGTGCAGTTTATTTAACTGCTTCCTTAAATCAGAAGTGGGAATGGTTATTCGTGGAATACATACACAAATAATACCCCATGAGACCAAATGTTWAAAAAAAAGGAAAAAATAGGTGCCTGTTTTATTAGAGCCTCCTTTGTAATGCCACGTGTGTCCATATCCCTGTCTCTACCTGATTGTCACCACGTGCTTCTCAGAGTTGGGACGCTGTCACCTGTGCATCCTCTCTGGACCAATGGGAAGGAAGAGGTGAGGGAAGTCRGTCTGAACTTCTTTCTTGTGACTGGTGATGTTCCCTCTTGTCCCCACTGAAGTGACAAGAGCTGTTAGGTCACTTGAGGACTGCCATGCAGGGAGTCCTTCTCCKACTGACAAGGAGATTGTGTAGCTTGGAGAGGTAAAAGAGATAATTACAGAACCTTGATTGTGCTACTGCCCCCACCACAGACAAAGTCATCTAGTCATCTAGTCTCCCTTTGAGAGAGGGAGATCACTTTTCTTATCTGCAAACATCGGGGATGACATTGATGCCTTGTCCTAAAGGTTTAGCTGTATTAATGCTATTTAACATAATAGCATGTAGAACAACATACAGTCACATTGTCAGATGTAGCAATGTAAAAATCTTTACTCATTATTTTTGGCTGAAATTAGCTAATATYGAAGAAAAGTCGATGGGGAATTCTGAGAATTAACTTAGCAATTTGAACCACTTTCTAAAATTAACTTTTAAAAGCAGAAGCAAGATGTCAATGCATTTGGGGACATTAAATATATTTCTGAGTTGCTCAGTGAAAGTGTAGCCCAATACCTTACTCCCTCTTCTACAAATACAGAAATCTGGATTCCCGATTCTTAACATTCTTCCCCTGCTTAGCAAACAGTCATATAAAATAATACGTGTCACACTGTCTTTTTTTTAGCCAACTCATATAAATAATTCACTCCCAGTGTCATTGGCCAGGTTCCTACCATTTTCTAGCAGAAGGCTGAGTGTACCAAGTCCCCTTTCTGTGTCATAAACTTAGGCTTGTTAGGACTATCCAATGCAATCGATCTGGACATACTTCTAGGAAATCTCAGACCTGCTGTGCCCCAGCCTCTTTTATGTTGTGTGCAGAACTCCCTCTGCTACCTGGATATTTTTCTTTGCTATTCTTTCCAATTACAATCTACTAGTCTACTATAAAAATATATAGGTTTGCAGATCCCGTATAGCTGAGGCAATAACAAGGGTCCTGGTTAGTGGCCATGGATGATGTCTGCTGCATATATCCTATATGTCCTGCRGATCTCATGGCATACCCTTATCCATGTCTGTCCCACCTCTGCTGCTTACATGCAGYAGTGAGAGTCACTTACAAATCAGGTGTCACAAATAGTGGCCTCCAGCAGGACACATTTTCATCTGCAGGCTGTGAACACAGACTAATGCATAATTCAGCTGGGCTGGATCATTGTCAGGAAATCTGCACCTCTTTGTCTACTGTTTATAAAAAACTTGAGTGCCTCTCTAAGAGGAAAACATCTTTCTTGCACACCCAATACCAAAGGGTCAAGCAACCAGCACAAATTAAGGCAAACGTACATTCTTACACACTCTTACTTTTTTTGCAAAAAAAATATTTAATAGTTTAGAGTATTGTCTGAATAACAACTTTTTTGAACTTTAATTTGGTAAACACAGTGTTCTAGCTAGGAACTCAGGTACATGAAATTTACAAAATGAAATTAATGATAATGATTTCTCTTTATACTCTGATTTAAAAAACTAAATCAACTGTGCCTTCAGGACTTGTGTTTGTTACAGTTATGAGTGAATTACAAATTACAGCAAAAACACCTCATACATGGCATATTGTATTTCATTCCATAAATTATGCTCTACTAGGAGTTTGAAAGCTGTATCCTGTAAGGTGGATGACTGCTGTCTAAACAGGGRCTGTAAGAAGGAATAACTCTATACCAGTTTGGTGTGGGCAAAGTTCTGAAGGACAGCCACACGTCTGTGGCTTACCTCTCTAAATGTATTGATGCACAGACAAGACTCAAAAATATTAAATTGACTAAATGAAGCTTTGGAAAAACCACATCTCAGTAGGCCAGTGTTGTTTGCACTGATAAACGGGACTGCCATGCACCTTACTCCAAMAAATAACATCAGGTTATAAAGTATTATCAAAATTACAAGCTGTTCCTTTAGTTTCTTATACTTTTTCATAGATAAAAATATTTTGATTTCTTTTTTCACATTTAGTCTTACACAGACCTGATTTTTATAATAGTACATACTGTATCCAAAAGCTCTAATACTGTTTCACTCCCTTTTTTTTACTAATTAGAAGAAAAAAAAAATCATGTCTTTACATGTTAATGAAATGATTCATTAGTTAAGGATGCAGACCACATACAAGATGATAAAGAATGTTTTTGTGTAATTACTTTGGGAAAGTACTTACCTAGGGGGTTAAAATTACACTTTTGAGGGCTTTTTAATTTACAGGAAGCATTACAATTAAGTCAGAATCATTAAACTGGTTAAATTTTTCTGAGCCTAATATATCAAGGTACAAATGACATATGTATTTTTTATTCCGAGTTTCTTCTTAATTTTAGCTTTACCTTTAATAAAAGCAAAAAGGTAAAATTACTTTCTCAAGCATTGTGGACCATTATTTCACCTTTTAAAGTTTTTATGTGTACCCTGTCAAAGAGATTACACTTCTTCTGCCATAAAATAATTTGTCTTTTCTGATACACATTCTGAGGTGTTTAATAAATAATTTCAAATAAGATTATACTAGTGTCCCTAGCCTATGGTTGATATCCCAGTAGTTATTAGTAATTAATATTGAAGAAATACAGTAGTTAAAACTGTCTAATGTTTGATGTTCATCAACTGCATCCTGAGACTGAAATTCTGCTTTCGACTTTGTGGATGYAAAAGCAGAAGCAGTGGAGTCATAAATAGATTAAAGCAAAGTAAATTATTGTAGCTGGGCTTCCTGGCAACCGTGGRCATTGCTAATATGTCACCATGCAGAAAAACAGACTACACACCCAATCTGAGTTGCTCTTGAGAACAAGTGCAAAACCACAGTAAACTGAGTACGTAAAGAAAGATTAAAATTTTCCTGAACGGCAGTAACTGTAAAAGAAATAACAAGGAGTATATAGAAAGAGAAATACATAAGAAGAGAATGACAAAGATCTAACTAAAACTTTGGGTAAATGATTGCATAGTCATAGCATATGAAAATTACAACAACAAGGTATTTGTACAAAGGGTGAGTTCAAAGCTCATACAAGCTTATTTGGGGAGAGGTAAGAATAASCTGTAAGAAATTATATAGGTGCAATTACAGAATATTTTATGGGAATAGGTTAATAGATAAAACAGGTATGGGGTGGTTAGTAACTAACAGTACAGCAATACAGATAATTTAGGTATGAGTAATGCTTTTCCTGCAGGATTGCAGTGAGAGGAACAGCATATGTCAGAATTAAATGCACTTAGCTCCAGGTTCATTTACAGTGTAATTATAGTTTAGTCCCCAGTGCAATGTGTTTGGATCTTATTATTTAGAAAATGTTTAGGCAACTTTATTTGCWTCCAAAGTCAGAGACAAGGAAAGATGCTTGGCTTCTTTCTACAAGACACTGGAGTGACACTTGCTTTTATTTTCTTTGAACAACATCTAGAATTTTCCCACAGTTCTTATACCATATGATAATGTTCTGTACATTGATATAATAATATTAGTATTCTTATAAGAAAGTATAGAGGTCAGCTTGTGCACTTCACAGTTTTTTTACCTTGCATATGTGTTTCATGTGACATAAGGCTGTAATGTAATGACTTAYGCAATTTCTGTCTTCTCTAAAATCATGATACAGAAATAGCTTCTAGCTATATCAATAGAAACATTCAGCATTAGCCAGATCTAACTCTTAAAGAATATTTGCTAGAAAGTGATAAAGGAAGTWACAGCCTACCCATCAAATGTTTTAAAGCCTGTTAAAAAACAGTTAAATTGTTTACAATGCCATCAGATGAATAACTTTTGAAGTTTATCTGTTCAAACTGTTTCTGCTAATTCATTTTATTGCAGAGTGTAGATTTCTTGTAGTATGGCATATGTGCACTTGAATTTAAAGTAAATATTAAGAAAGATGGTGTGATTTATTCTGTTTACATCTTATTGCAGGTGGAAATCTCACTGGAGCAATATTTAACCCAGCACTGGCTTTTTCATTACATGCAGATTGTTTCTATGACAATTTTTTTAGTTACTTACGAGTATATTGGATGGCACCATCCTTAGGTAAGTTCTTAATATTTATGCATTTGAGGAAGTGTTATTTAGTACATGGTTCATAAATCAGGAAATATGTGTTCTTTATTTGAGAGTGCTTGATTTTTGCATTAAATAAATCCAGAAAATAGTAAATTATAATTTATGTGTTGAAGTCATGAAGAGCAGGCAATGCTCTATGTAGAGTGTGTGCAGCATTGTTCTGTGAATTATGGAATGATTTTGATTGGGAAGGACCTTTAAAAATCYTGTGGTACTTACCTGAAAGAGAAACATACTGGTTACCACACAGTGTTTGCCTTGTTTTGTGAACAGTATACAAGAAAACATAGGGATGATAGATTTTAAAATACCCTACCTACAGGGGACAAGTGCCTTAAATATCTTTTCTCAATTACTASTTTTATCATATCAAATCTTTTTTATCCCCATAGTGTCTAAACATCACAATTCCCACTCTGTGTTTTTCCCTCAGTCCCTATTGGATATAGTCTGTTCTTAATTTAAGAATAAGAAGTGCCAACAACTAAGTCTTTTCTAACTTAAATTATAGTTTTAATTTGAAAGCTATTGATTTTGACTTCCGCCTGTTTGCAGATGAAAATGCTCCATGTGATACTTCATGCTGTTGTTTGTTTACACTGGACCCTACAAATCTTGAGCTTTCTGCTTAGAGGGTATATAAAGAAGCAGTCTGCTAATCCTGACTTCTTTCATGACTGTTAATCCTATTAGAAGGTACAATAATCATGAAAGCACAACAGGATGTAAAATATACACAGGAAACACCAGAAAGGGCTCCTGTTATGACCAAAAACTTCCTTTTCTTGAGTTCACTTCTGGGCATGTTCTACTTGCCTTGACTCTCAGTCAGCCAAAATTTAAGACAGAAATTTAAACTCAACTAAAATTCACTTTAATATAAACTTGTTAAATTAGACTTCCAAACAGGATGGCTGAACAATAGAGTAAACTTGATAAMTGTTCATTGAGCTGGTAATGAAATGTCATAGGCAAAGCTTATCAGCATCACTCMGTTCCTGACAGAACACATATTTCTCACAGTTCAGCTGTACCTTTTTGATATATTAACCAATTTAAATCTCATAAACATTCAAAGATTTTCCAGGTTATAAGTGCTTGGGATTTAATCTTTTAACAATAATTTAAAGAAATGGGAGGCATTCTGAAACCCCATGTTCTACTTACTTGCCAAGATATGTCCTGCAGAACAGTTCTGCAGAAAGCCTGGTGGATTTTGACATAAGAAAATCAACAGATGTTAACTGAAATGAASCTGTGACTTGAGGAACTTAGAATGCGATTAGGGAGCAATGTTATATTTCTATGAAAATTCATAAACAGTGGTTTTTCATCAGTTAACATCTTGAATATATATACAGAATATATTGAATGCTGTTTCTTAATTTATGAGGGGAAAAAACTCCAGACTGAGCAGTTGTAAAGATGTAAATACTCAGGACACATCACTTCTTGCACAGTGCCACTACAGTCACCAACACTGAGTGACAGATTTCAGGTCTGTAGATCACCTGAAGTAGTCTATTGGTGATAAAAATATCTCACTACAAAACAACGATGTTTCATGGATACATTTCATAAAGACTTTATAAATCAAGAGTTGTAAACAAATGTTGTGTCTGAGGTGGAAGTACAGAGCAGATTGCTGTATTTGAAATACAGGAGTGCAGATTTACAAATCTTAACACAAAGTGATTTTTTTCTGACACTTTTTGAAAATAAGAGAATAGGAATAGAATTTTTTCTTCCCCAATTGGACCAAATGATAAGGCATCTAGGAAAATTACCTGTTATGATGATAAATTAGTGTGAGAAGAACTTCTAAGCAGAATCATGAAAGTAGATGATAAGGGAAAGGGTATTATAAATTCAGTTGTAAAAATTACTTTCAAGATCGACGTGTCAGCAGAAATGCTGTTCCAGACTTCCTAGAAATGGCAGTCACAGTGATATGCTAAGATGATGCCTTATTTTTTCCAGCATTAACATCTCAGATGGTTAAACTACTTTGATCTTACTCTGGGAAATTCTTTCAGAAGGCTTTTTTTTATGTTTTGCTGTAATRACTACCACAGAGTAGAACCATGGGCTAACACATCATGAAACTTCAAATTGTCAGTGCAAAGTGCAATATATTCTCATTTATGCAGCAAAAATCCATGAGGACAAGGAGACACGGAGCATTCAGTATGTAACTGACACCCTGATCTGGTTGTAAGCAAGTTGTAAACAATGTTCTTAGAAAGGACACTTGGAACAAAAGGAGGAGGATGAAATGGATGTTTTCTTTTAGGATAAACAAATCTATTGGTGGTTTATGGTCTTTCAGGAATTTAATTTTGGAACCATAGTTCATTGCTCATTTTTCAAAATGGCTYCACTGATGTTTTGGGGAAGGTGGTTCTCCAGCAGCATTAAACACCTGATTCTTGCAATAGACATAGATGCCAGCATGTGTTTATAACTTAGCACAGGGGAGGCCTAAGCTCTGCACTGTGAACATAGACTCAGTAAGTACCAGTGGAACAAAGATGGTTTCTGTTCTACTGCCAAAGAAATTCATGTTAATTGTCAAGGCATAATTATGCCATCAGTAATGATGGGGACTGAGCTAATGCTGCTCTTTCAGTACCAGGGAGATGGCAGCTACAAATGGAAGAGTAGGTGACACGATAGTCATGAGTTCAATAAAATGAAATGCTCTTTCCTGGACAGGTGCCAGCTTAGCATATCCTAGAATTAAATAGTAGTGAGGGACATTAAAGACCATCCAGTTCCATCCCTGCTGCCAGGGGCAGGGACACCCTCCACTAAACCAAGAAGCTCAAAGYCCCATGGAACCTCATCTAGGCTCCTGCTAGGTTTCTAACACTATATAAACAGAATCAAGGCCCACTTCTTTAGATCAGTTTTACTAGAAAGACTAAATACTCTTCCTCAGAAAATAAGTGCCACAAAAGTCACTTAGCAGGAGATGTAAATGGAGAACGTAAGCAAGGGAGAAGGCAATAGGTGAGACTTTGGCCTTTCTGCTYAGAGGAGAGTATATTCAGAGACTTCCAGCAAGTTCAGAACACTTCAGCAAAGAAACAAGAATTCCCCATGCAGTGAAGTGATCAATATCTCAGGGACTTGGTAGGAAAAGAGGTTTTCAACAAACAACTACAAGTCTCCTATTCCCAGATCCTGGTCTTCATAGGGGTTTCCAGCTCCACAGATTTCATCTGACAGAGCAAAACTCTTATGCAGTGAGTGAATGCAATCCATGAAGTTCCTAGAAACTGGCAGTAATTAAGTCTAGTTCAAATACTAAAGGGTCAGTGAGTGGTAATCCTGAACTTGACCTGCTTACAGAGAAGAAGGAGTGGTGAATGTGGCCACTTGGGTTGTAGTCCTCACAAGAGTTCAGGGTTAAGAGGAAGACTGGGAAGGTAAATAGCAAGCTGTCCAGACTTTGGACTTCAAAACAAAATTCTGMTTATTTAGGGAATTGCTAAGTCAGTAGTAATTCCCTTGGAAGCTGCCATAAATGAGAAAAATTTACCATGGAAAGGTGATTTTTTAAAAAAGCTCATGAGAGCTCAGTAATAGATTTAGATGTGCAGGAGAAATCTGTCACATAGACAGGGAATTTGGACAGAAAGCCTCTCCCTGCTGGCTAGACAAAGAGCTTCCCTACAAATGAAGGAGGGCATGTAAGAAGTTGAAACTGGGACAGGCAGCAAAGGAGGACTACAAGAGCTTTGTACAGGCACTTGGAAGAAAAATCAGGAAGATTAGAGCTCAGCTGAAACTAAGAGCAAGGACATGCAGAGTTACAAATACAGTAATCACAAAAAAAGTCCAAAGGAAATGCAGGTCCACTGGAGGATGGGGGAGACAACCTAGTGATGGATGACATGGAAAAGACTGAGTTACCACACAGTCTTCCCAAGTAAAATTTGCTCCCAAACCTCTGTGTAAATCGGTAAGTCTTGGGAAAGGAAGCAACACATAGGGACCAACAAGGTAGGAACAACATAGATAGGCTCAATGATTGTGGATCCATTGACTCTACTGGGATTCACCTAGAAATGAAGGGAGAGTTGGCCAGTGTTGGAATTGTCCTTCATTTATGAGAAGTTAYAGCAGTTGGAGGAGGTTTCTGCCAATAGGAAATAGGTTAATGCTATGCCTGTTTTCAAGTAGGAGAGAGAAGCCAGGGAACTATCAGTTAATTGGTCTCACCTCAGTCAGTGGGAAGATGGTGGAGTATCTAGTCTTGGAATCCATTTCCAACTATTTAAACAACACAAAGGTGATCACAGGAACAGTCAGCACAGATTTAGTGTGGGTAATCCATGCTTGACCAACTTGGTTGCCTTCTGTGATGAATGCATGTGGGAATGAGGGGGGAGCAGGGATGCAGTATACCTTCACTTAGGTAAGGCTTTTGATACCACCTCCCACAGCATTCTTGGTTCAAAGTGGGGTCACACAAACAGACTGTTAGATGCAATAAAGATCGCTAAACCACTGACCTCAAACTGTCACAATCAATGGGAAGACACCTGGCTGGTGGCCAATACCAGGCAGAGTATGCTGGTCTCAGTACTGGGAGTTCACATTCCCCAGTATGTTTAACAGTAAACTCTATCAAAGTTTATTCACAAAAGTTTGATCTCTCTGCAAGACAAAGCACATGATTCAGTTATTTGGGATCAGCACCTCTGCAGAGGGAGCTCCATAGGCTGGATAGGTGGACTGAGATCAACAACGTGAGATTCAACAASACCAAGTGCTGGGTCCTATGCTTTGGCCACAACACCCCCAYGCAGTGCTACAGGCTAAGGTCAGAGTGCTTGGAAAGTGGCCCATCAGAAAAGGATCTGGGGGTGCTGGCTGACAGCAGCTCAATGTGAGCCAGCTGTGCCCAGGTGGCCAAGAAGGCCAATGCTATCCTGGCCTGTATCAGCAATGGTGTGGCCAGCAGGACCAGGACAGTGATTGCTCCCCTGTACTGGGCACTGGTGAGGCCACACCTCAAATGCTGTGTCCAGTTCTGGGCCCCTTGCTTCAGGAAGAACATTGTGATGCTASAGTGGGTCCAGAGAAAGACAACAGAGCTGGGGAAGGGCCTGGAGTACAAGTCCTAAGAAGAGYGGCTGAGGGATCTGGGGATGTTTGACCTGGAGAAAAAGAGGCTCAGGAAGGACTTTATCACTCTCCACAAATATCTGTAAGGAGGTTGTAGCCGGGGGGAGGAGAGTGTGAGTCTCTTCTCCCAGGCAACCAGTGATGGGATGAGAAGACATAGTCATAAGCTGTGCCAGGGAGGTTCAAGTTGGACATTARGAAGAATTTCTTCAAAGAAAGGGTGATTGATTAGATATTAGAATGGACTGCCCAGGGAGGTGGTGGCATCACCATTCCTRGAAGTGTTTAAGGAAAGACTGGATGTGGCACTCAGTGCCATGGTCTRTTGACATGGTGGTGTTTGGCCACAGGTTGGACTTGGTGATCTCACAGGGTTTTTCCAAATGAATTGATTCTGTGATTATTACCTCCTTMTATTCAATGCTTCTGTGGTGGCATCTGGAACATGGGTAGTTTGCAGTTCCCCAGTTCTAGACCAATGTGGAAAAAAACAGAATCCAAGCAGTGGAGGACTACTAAGATGGTGAAGGGCCTAGACTACYTGATCTGAGACGGAAGGCTGAAGGAACCAGACTTGTTTAGGCTGCCWAAAAAGATGAAAGCATGTTTTAAGCACAGTCAAGCATTGTTTCAAGAGTAGTTACAAGAATAACAGAGTTAACCATTCTTTTTGGCAACAAGTAACAGCAAGGGCACAAATTGCAGCTTGGGAAGTTCAGGTTAGACTCCAGGAAAACATTCAGCAGGAAGGGTGCAGCACCATTGAAATTAGTTTCCTCAAGAAATGCTAGTCTCCAGCATGGAGGTTTTTGGGACTCAGGGAAAGTCTCAATGACCCATGTAGCATAGGCAAAGTCCTGCACTGAGTGGGAGACCAGACTGAACAGAATCCCTTCCAATAAGCTTTTGTGTGATCCAAGAAGCTTCAAAAATACAAGCTTATGTGTGGGTAACGCCATCAAGCAGGATCCTCTTCGTCTCTGAAAGAATAAACTGATTTTTGTTCCTGCAGGAAAAAAAAAAAAAACAGGCACCCTAAACAGTATTTGGATGCCCTTTGGACTCAGTGGTCCTTATAGGTCTCTTCCAACTTCAGACAGAAGTTTCTTCATGAGATAGTGTACAATCTTTAACCGTTTTTTTTTCAGGTTCAGAATAAACCCTAAATCAGAACGATTTTCAAARAAACACCAACTATCCTATACCCACTTGGCAGCACCTAAAAATGATTGGTTATCAAAATTGACATTGCTAACAAACTCAGGTGAGGGATGGAGGTTAAGCTGCTGGTTTGGTCATTTATACATCCAGCTACAAAGAAAGGAGCCCTGATCAGGAAGGTGCCCATGTTGGATTCACCTAGTCAAACTCTCTGCCTTTGGCTTGGCTTACATAGATCAAAGCATTAAGGAAAACAAGATTAACTTACAGGGACCACTTGCATGGCCTGTTTCTTTGAAGCTTTCCATGGAGCTTTCTCTGCAAAATGTATTGATGCAGCCCCGCCATACTGTCTTAGGCACTCAAATAGCTGAACACGTCTACCTTCCAAACTAGTACTGTTTCTTTTCAAATGCATTTAAATAAAGGTTCTTTCTGTAACTTCTCATTTCAGGTACAATACTTGTGGTTTTTATACGGGATGAAATCTTTCCTCGGACATCTTGAAACATCAAATCCTGAAATTTGGCAGTATTTTAAAAAGTATTTTCAACATCTTCAAACATACAGCTTTCAGAGAACTGCTGACAGACTCCTGTGCCAGTTGCATTTTCAGATTTCATGTTTGAAATATTTGACAAATCAGTTTGTATTCAAATAATAATTTTGTAAACATATTTTGGGATTTTGGGATTATCTGCCACCCTTTTCAGTTAAGCCATATGAATGTCAAGGACTGTTAAAACATAAACTTTGTCACTTTAGCCATAAGTGCCATTTGCTGATCTTCATTAGCATGCAAAACTAATTTTAGAGACATACCCCGTCCTCTCAAGGTTTGATTCTATTGGACTTCTTCCCATTGAAGGCACCTGCAAAAAGGGAGCTGAAGATATCTTATACTGACATCATTATATTCCTACTTGCCATATACTTACCTCTGAGAGGAAGAAAGGCTACTCTGATCCCTAGAAGAGTCTCCACAGCTCTATTCTAGAGGCACCCTACACCAAAATTAAATGTCTGTATGACCAACATTGTTTTAATAATACCTGAGTGCAGGTAAGTAGCCCCTCACTTCCTTCTGGGAAGGCTCTGCCCCATCCTGTTCCATTGGAGATTGTTGAATGTTTATCTTGGTTGGAAGAACCAGTAATAAAATACCATAAAATTTTGTAAAAGGGCATTCTGGGCAAAACCCTCTACTTTTTATCAGCAATTACTGCTGCCTCTTCACATAGACACCGTATATAGCTATGAATCAACTGATGAATCAATTTGTCCTTGATTTTATGTAGCTTTTATCACCTTCTTTAAAAAACAAATCAATCTGCAATGCAGGATAATAAGTCTGAGATAAATAGTATAGGAAAATTACATACACAAACTAGCACAAGCATGCCCTTCATCTCACTTGAGGCAAACACCACTGATGGGTACCACCCTCYGAAGCTGTTTCTAGCACAATGTTTCTTCTGGCTACAGCTTAATTTTTAAATATGCCAAAATATATTTTTCAAATTTAAGATTAAATTCAGTTTTTCATTTTATAGTTAATTGGTTTGAAAGATGGTTAACAAATTCTACAAAGATCTCAGTATCCAGTCCCTCAGCTGATCATCCAAGTCAACTTATAAACCATATTCTAAAAGAAAGAGAATCAGCTGGGGGATTTTTCACAGTAAATTGATGAAGTCCTTGTTGTCAGCTGTATTTTTTGCAAGCGTTCAGGAAGCAAATATTTCCATGTAATTTCTTCCTTGTTGCAATAAAATCTTTTCTCATTTTCATTTTCCAAGGTACCTATAAGATTATACTGCAAAATTAAATCAACTGTATGAACACATATTACATACAAGAGTCCTACCCATCACCCTCTATTCAGTTATTAATAAGAAAAACAATTAGCCTGGTAATATACTGAAGAGAACTGCTGGGTTATCATTCAGCAGCTCTTTGAGACTAGTGTGAGTAGTTCTAAGGAAACTTGTCCTTGTTAAAACTCTTCAAGGACCACACAGCAGCACACTGACCCAGAAAAGATGTGATCCTCTGAAAAAAAACATGTACTTTTATATCTTGTTCTGCTTCTAAAACAGATCCTTTTGGGGGTTTCTACTTCTTTCTTGCTTTACTGCTTTTTATCTCTATTTTTAAAGTGATCCATACCTCACAATTTTTTCCCCCACTTTTTCACCTCATTTCTTACGGAAACAAGTCTTTCAAAACCTACATAATTTGATGTCTCCTCTGAGCCCATATAGTCCATAGGATAAAAGTCTCAAAAATAAACCTCAAAKAGCACAAAAATAGACAAGGAGAAGAGAAAGCATATACAAACCTACAGGGCAGCCATGATTTGTTAGATAAGAGGCCCTCCTTCCACATCAGTTTTGATGGCCTGCAAAAGCAAAGGCCATAAAGCAAAGAGGTCGGTCAGATCTGACTTCTCGATGTCTACCTTGTTTATTTTGGCACAACATATAGTATAAAAGAAATTGGTACAAATCTRGGTGATTAACAAGTAGTTTCTGTATTTATAGGAATTGGAATTTAAAATTTAAAATCACTAAAAATTAGACAGCCCTTATGCTAACTAAATTAATGCAACACAAAAGGAAAAAAAAAMMCAACWAAAGTAGCAGAAATATTATCAAATAAACCTAAGCTAGGAACTCAAGAATTTAACTTGTTTTGGTAGTGCAGGAWAAAAGGAGTATTTTATATTTGAAGTAACAAATGCTCATGAAGACCAGAACACTTACACATAGCCTAAATACAAAGTTTTATTGCAAATAAAATTTGTCAGTCACACAAGACACTTCTCCAATGCTACCTCCAGGTTTGTTTCCACCTCACCTCAATTAATCTTGCTCCACTGATTTGACTGATGTCTGCTACTGGAGCTCCACATTAGTACAACACAAATTCTCTCTCTGGAGTTTGGTAGTGCTGCGATATAGTGAGAGTGCCAAGAGAAGCTGTGAACAATCCAGCTGCCCTGTAGTTAATTCTGCCCATGTGCCAGGGTATGTAACAAGCTGCAGTTTAACATGGGAAACAACAGAAACACCACATTCCAACTCAGATTTACACACACACAAACACCCCACTGTCTGTTTTAACAGTGAATGGTGACTTAARAGTTCAATGAGCTGCAGTGCAGGTAAGAGTTTTACCCGTCCCAAAATATCACCATGCCGAGATTCTCCAAATGCCAGTGCAAAAATCCACACATCACTCCCTAWCTCCCTTTGTTACTCTGTATCCCTAACAAAAACATACACACACTCACATGAATACATGTTTTTGTGTATATAAAGGGGCTGGCAAAGGTAGAATGTCTTGTTGCATAACACGCCGAATACCTCATTTATTCAGCTACRTCAGTGGTTCACAACACTATTAGGACATCCCTAATTTGACTGGCATTCCTAATGAACATTCAACAAAGAGTGGTTATAATTACCACATACCTTGGAAYCAAATCACATCCTAACGTCTAAGCTGAGCGTAGGGCCAGTAAACTGCTCGTATACCAACAGAGCAATACCTCACCTCCCCTCCCAAAATAATCACAGGTCAACTTCAAAGTGAAAGAAAATGGAAGAAGTTTGGTCTAGACTTTGATTTCAACACTGGGGAGAGAAAGGAACAACCTGCATTTGCTGACATTTCCCAAAGACAAAATCACCACCCTGAAGAGAGATGGAACAGGAAAAGCTCCAGCAGGACGAAGATCTTGGCAATCTAAAGCTGGGTTTAGCTAAGTTTTGGATGTGTCCACTAACTATCACAGGAATACTGTGCAAATGCTCTGCTCTTTTATCCTCAGATCCAGGTAAATTATGAAAATGCCTTCACTGAAGATTTTTTTTGTTACAGAAGAGAGATCTGAAACTCAAGGCCTCAAGCTGCTTGCTGAAGTAAAGGAGGGAGAATTGCAACACAGAGCTTGTGAGATACAAAAATCTTAGTTTATTTAACAATGTTAACATTTAATACAAAGACACAATACAATTCTCTTTGCCTGGACCTTACAGATTTTATTCCTTCTCCTCTACCACCCAAGCTCAGCTCTCAGAGAAATGAAAGGGATAGCACTGAAATGATAAAGCCAGTTACTTGAGGGGCTTTTAATTTAGCTTTTCTTTCAATCCTTGGCCAGCCCTATTTCCTTTTAGTTGCAACATTTTTATTTCCATTTTACTCCACAGAGTCGATGACAGGTAAAAAAATAAGGAAAATTCTAGGACAGTCTAAAATTCTGATCTACTTACAGTTTTATTTCTGAAGTCCRACAATTCCTACAAAGGCTTCTTTGAAAGGCCAGAGAGGTTGCTCAGAAAGACTGGCTGCCCCATCCCTGGAAGTGTTCACAGCCAGGTTAGGATGGGGTCCTGAGCAACCCTACTGAATGGCATCCCTGCCCATGGCAGGTGGGGTTGGTACCAGATGATCTTTAAGGTCTGTTCCAACCAAAATCATTCYGTGATTCTATGAAATGACCCCTGATTAGCCCCATTCAAGTGTTAGATGCAAGAGGTTTTATTGTTTTGTTTATTTTGTTTTTTTAAATAACCCCATAGTGGTCACAAATGTCAAACCCTGTTATAAACATCTCTACAAGCATTTATAGACCTAGATGTCTAAACTTAGGTCATTAAAAGAAACGTTAACTCCCGATAGTCACTGCAATGCCTTCGGTTTTACAGCTTATTCTGGAAGTGCCACAAGAGGAATCTGAAAAACACAAGASACCCAAATTTACATAACTGGCATTAAAATAAAAGGTTATTAACCTTCATATAGTCGCTATCTGTTATTTGCAGTCAGAGGACAGCACTTTACTACCAGCCCAGAAACTTTCAGAAGGGTTGAGTATCTTTGCYTTTGGCAGCAGCTCTAACTCAGGTCAGCTAAGGACAGCACGTGCTTACAGCTGGCACCAGGATGCCTGGGCAGACCCCGCTGCACCCACAAGCAGACACACCAGTTGCTTCAGAACAATTGCTGCAGCCTCGTGATGCCACAGACAAAACATCCCTTATTGCAGGAACAGTGGAAATGTCCCACACCAACTGCCACCAAGTCTTCCAGGAGCTTCAGCAGGAGACTGTCACATCTCATTTGGGTGACACATAACACAAGTGTCACACAAGGGCATAGTTTTGGAGGCAGGGATGCGCACTGCTCTCCAAGGGATCGCCAACAAGATGTTCCTGTAAATCATTTTGCAGTACCGGTGGTTAAAAGGGCCAGGCTGCTCCATGGAGTACCCATGAGATCACAACATGCTCACTCTCCAACCCTACTTAGAGAGTGTAGAGCCAAGCCACCCTCTTAGCAGGGTGATTAGCACAGACCTCCAAGAGCTGTCCTCATCACTTTCTACCTTCGGTCCCTTATTGCTGCTGAACATCTTAGATTCCTGAACTTCCTTAAAKTACATCCACACACTTAGGCTGGTGGTTACTCTAAAGAGGGCCACCCCCAACCGCTACCTGGAGTGATGTCACTGTAGCCTCTGACATTGCACATGCAGGTCACTTGATCTGCTCTGACAGGGATCACCTCCTCAGCTCTGATTAGCACAAGCAGAAGCACAGGAGGAAATTCTCTCTGGCCACCTCTCACAGCATTCATCTCCCACCACCACATGCCATACYGTGGAAGGCATGGAGTAAGTAGCAGGAAGTTCCACTGACCAAAACTACTCTTTACTGGGTGTGTTTTGCGCTTTGCTAGAAGAACTGTCTACAACACTTCCACCAGCACTTTCAGGCTTCTTAGAGATCTACTATCTGCTACTAACTCTCTTTTAAGTTTAACCAGTATAATAAACAAAGCAGTCAAATCTGAATCTTTTAACAGCATGATTTTTTTTTTCAATAAACCATTGACCAAAATAATCTTGGAGATGGAGTTAGAGCCTAAATTTTCATTCACTCACTAGGAGGCACTTGATCTACAGCTAAAGGCTTGYCTTTAATTTTTGTGTCCTTTACCAAACTGGAGGACCATCCAATGGCAGGACAACCATAACTAAATTTTTTTTGTTTTTTAAGAACTCCRCTCTCTCTCTTCTGCAAAGTCCTTCCCAGGGTAGAAATGTGACTGTAGAAAAGTTGGAGCTCTTACACAAGACAATAAATACCAATTCAGGAGCAGTAGCAGGAGTGGAGGTCAGTAAGAGAACACATAGCTACTCTGAGCCTTTCAGAAGTGCAGTAGCAAAGAAAAATAAGCAACAAAGGAGGAGCGCAGCCGTGCATCACCCCTCCACAATAGCCCTCCTCAGGGACTGCAGTCTCTTTCCTAGTGACACTGTAATTCCTATTCAACTATTTCCCACTTTTTTCTCTCCCCTGTGTCACACTCCTTTTTGTGTCCCTTTCCTCCTTTCACTCCTGAGCTTTTAGCTGTCTGCTCCACAGCTGCGCTCCCCAGCATTTCAAGTGGGATTGTTCATTCACTGAAAGAGTTGTCAGTCTCCCTTCTGAGACAGTCAGAAGAGCTGGGACAACACAGCACCACTTAAGCAGCACATACAGACCATGCACTAGTGAGCACTGCTGAAGGGTGGGACCACAATCCCACTGTGCCTGTGTGCCTCTACAGACAGTCCCAAAAAAAGCTGCTCTTCCTCTCCCACCCAGCACTTGTGCGGAAACACTGAAACACCTTAATGCTGCTAAGAGGAGAAATGCAGCACGGGTGATGGAAGACAAGGGAACACACTGGCACAACCACCTGAGCAGGGTGTTGTCTCTAAGTTGTGCACTTCTAACAGCAATCCCATCTGGATTGCTCAGTAACTTTACCAGGAACTGTTCCTGCTCTGCTTATAGAAAAGGAAGAGATGTACTTGCAGTGCTGTGAAGTATCCTGCCCCCTTGAACAGCCTCRGAAATCCTGCACAGTAACTTCCCAGGGATAGCTCCTGTGTTCATATATATGAGTACTTAAAAGTCTTAGATCAGACAATATTTAAATCAGCTAAAAGGCTGACCTGTCTTCCAGACAGGCACATCCATACAGGTTGCCTCTGCAGGGTAATGGTTTATGCCAATAGGCATTTCAGCACAGATCATTACATATCTTTCTACATTTGTGAAAACTACAGCTCCCTTTGCCTTCCTCTACACTGCCATCATCCCGATATTGTGAGACACTTCCTGTAGGATCATGTAGATTACACAAATTAAGAGGGAAGGTTCTGCAGGACTGAAAAGCATACATGTGAGAAGTCAGAAGAACTTACAGTTGCACCTGTCCCCCTCAGTGATCGACTTCGGCATCTTCAAACTGCCCGGCAACTACTGGTGCTATGTCCACCTCCATCCCATCTAAAAAAAACAGCCAGTGAGCGCTCCGTGAACAAGCAGATGAGGGATGACGTTTTCACGGGAAAGAGAGCAGACGCCCTCTGCTGACAAGAGGTGGCCAGGACAGAAAACCCTATCACTGAACTTCTGAAAGCACCCTAAGGAAACACCGACATGCTTCCAAGTTTCTGGGTTTGATTCAGCTCAATCGGATGGTCACTTAAGGTTGCCACTGCCTCCTACAACACCATCTCACCCTGACTTAGTAAAAGACTTAAACACTGGGTTTTAACTATTTCACGTTTTAAATGACGTTTTGGTGTAACAAAATGGCATGACTCCTTTGACTAACTTTAATCCCACTCTAGCAGAAAGAGGTTGAATCCTGTTGTGAAACAATCATCAAGCTAAAAAAGAAGAATGATTGCTCTATGCTACAATGCCAAAACATAATTTAGTTCTGAAACTGAGCAGCCCTGGGGACATTTATAATTGCAGCACACCAGGCAGCAGTACTACAGCAAATAAGATTAGGTAAGTAGACAAAACTGATGAAGATTACTTCGAGTCACATGATATACTTGCTGTTCAATTTATATTCATTTCTGGAATTTTGGGATTCAGAAACCTGACTAAATTTTCAAACAAAGGGCATTGCTAAAACAGCAGCACAACCGATGGTTATCTTTACACTACATAAACTTATTTTAAATTGCAGACGAAAGAGAACATTAAAACAAATAAGATTAAAAACCCCTCTCTGTGGACGAGAACAAATTAGTAATCATTTTGTAGAAATCCACAAYTGCTGCATCATTTTCCATCTTTCAAATACATCAGGGCATATAAAAAGCACTGCAATTCATATATTAAAAAAGAACTAATGTTACTCAACTACTTCCCTGTTCTTCTCCCAGGTAATATATTGCTCTAGTGGAAACAGCATACAGAAAAGAAAGAGTGTGAGAAATCAGGTGGTTTTTCCCCAGCAAAAAAGGAATTTCACTCCTTAAATACACATTTGAACAATCAATAGAATTAAGAGCATCCTTCAAACAAATACGTATTTTTTTGTAAATTTATTTCAGTGTTCTTGAATGATTCAGAATACACCCAGAACTCTGTTAAGAGAATTGTTAACTTGTAATTTAGGGTATTAGTAAGAAAAACCAAAACCAAGACCCAAACAAAAACTACAACTTGTTTAGAGTAGAAATTGCTTCCTAATCCCAGTGTAGACTGACAAATTTWWTTTTTTTTTAATCCAAAATCAACTTCACTTTACCACTCTTCCAGGAAATCATACCAGGAAGAATCAAGGGTTCTTAACACTGAAATGCTCACTCTCAGACCAGCCCTCAATCCACAGCAGGCAACATGGTGCCCCATWGGGCCACAGGCACATGGATGATCCCTCACCTTCACATCACACTTGCTCWGTCCTGGTTTATGGATTAGCAAAATTGAAGAACCACCACTTTCATATCATAGAACCACAGAATGGTTTGGGTTGGCAGGAACCTTGCAGCCATGGGCAGGGACACCTCCCACTAGACCAACTTGCTCAAGGCCCCATTCAGCCTGGTCTTGAACACTGTGGGGTGTCCACAGCTTCTCTGGGCAACCCCATGGTAAAAAATTTCTCCTTTCATCATCTGAATCTCTCCTTCTTTGGTTTGAAGCCATTTCCCCTTCTCTTATCACAACGAGCCTAACAAAAAAGCCTGTCCCCCCATCTTTAAGTACTGAAAGGCCTCAGTAAGGTCTCCCCAGAGCCTTCTCTTTTCCAGGCTGAACCACCCCAACTCTCTCAGCCTGTTTCCACAGCAGAGGCCCCCTGATAATCCTCATGACTTCCTCTGGACTCGCTCCAGTAGGTCTATATCCTTCTAATGCTTGAGAGCTGGATGCAATACTCCAGGTGGGGTCTCACTWGAATAGAGCAGAGGGGCAGAATCCCTTCCCTCACCCTGCTGGCCATGCTGCTTTGCATGCAGCCCAGGACAAGGTTGGTTTTCTGGGCTGYGAGCACAAATTGCCAGGTCATGTCCAGCTTTTCATCCACCAACATCTGCAAGTCCTTTTCAGCAGCACAATCAATACACTCATCCCTCAGCCTGTACCAATACCAGGGGTTGCCCCAACCCAGGTGTAGCACCTTGCACTTAATTTAAAGTTAATCCTTGCCTTGTTGAACCTCAGAGGTTCCCACTGACCCGCTCCTCAAGTTTGTTCATGTCCCTCTGGATGGCATCCTTCAGGAGTGTGAACCACACTCCTCAGCTTGGTRTTGTCTGCAAACTTGCTCAGAGTGCACTCAATCCCACTGGCTGTGTTGCTGATGAAGACATATATTCTTTGGCAAAACAAAAGCATGTCTTACCTTCAAACTCCCTTATTGAGTCCTCTGTTCTCACTCCAGCCATGTTGTACTGAGTGCTGACAGACTGGGCTAGCATGCCTTCTAACCTCTCCAGCGTGGCCTGGCCTTCTGCAGTTAAATGTGACAATCCTTCTTCGTATGTGTAAAAGCTCGGGATGTCACCTTGTTCCAGCTCTGCAAAAACAAGTTTATGTTTATCAGATCTAAGTTTAAGAGCCCACAACATGCAGGGGTGGAGGAACAGGAGAGCAGCTAGACAAGTTATGCTCAGATTAACTGACTGAGATTTAAAAGCTGCTTACATCAGGTACAGAACACCCATAGCAGTGTCAACTGACCACGCAGCAGCATGGGCACTGAACCTGGGCTAGCACAGCCACTGAGAACAGGAAAGGCTGCTGCTGTCGGTGTCTGTGGGCTTTAGAGAGCCAAAACATTRCTTTTGCTGAATTCCTGTGATTTGTGTCAGCTAAACTGCAGACTTTCTGCAGATTTGTGAATTTCTATACTATGCCTGGGGCAAAAGGGATATTTAGGCAGGATGAATAATAAACAATCATGACAGATACCAGGTATCCAAGTRCTGGCAGGTATTTCAAAAGAAGCAACTGTTACCAACCACGGGCCTCAACATCGTACTCGTCCCCTTCGTAATCGTTGTCCGAATCCTCATCCTCCGGGTCTGGGTGCAAGGCCTGGCATTCACACATAGCTGAAAACATGGCCTCCACTGCAGGAACACAAGAGAGCACAAACCTCCACCAATATCCCAAAACAACAGGCAAGGAACCTTACGCYGAGTGATTAAAGAGATTCAGAATACTCCTTTAGCAGAAGAAACCACCATTCAACAAGCCAGAAGACAAGCAAGAAACAAATCAGGTTTCAGAGATCCAAACTGGTGCTCTAGCCTCCTAACAGCACTTTCCCATTATTTCATTGGTGATAAAAGGTCCATCTCTGAACAATTCTGTCTGTGGTTACTCACTGCAGGAATTATTGCAACATCTCATCAATAAGATTCCTAAAACTTGGTTCCAGCTGTAAGCTCCACACTGRACAGGATATGACTGCTTTCCAGTGGTAGTGTTAAGGCATTAGCATGTTGGTAACGAAATTGTCACTGACTCAAATATCACTGAATTTGTAACTAAAAAGACATTTCCMATACACATTCTTTGCAAATGTTATCCATGTTGTGTATTTATATTCAACAGTTTCTATTTTAAAGCATTGAAATTTTCCTTGAGAAGCAGCTGCTTGAAATAGTCCATCTTCAAACCAAATAAAACTATTTGCTTTATTCTTTTTAACACACAGGAATCAAGTCATTAGAGAAGGACACTGAAGGAATATGGTATTTACATCTCTGTACCCAAGTGTCTTCCACATAAAACCAGGACTTTAAAGTAAAACAAAATTCTCATTCTCACTYACAGGCTGATTTGTCGCTTGGTACAAATCTGAATTCGGCAATCGGTTCAACGTCATCATCACTGTCGTCCTCCTCCCCTTCAGTCATGGGAGCCTCTTTCGTCTCCTCTTTAGGAAATGAAAGAATTTAGATGAAACATTTTTTTTGGGGGGGGGAGAGTTCCATTTGTTTATTCTTTCAGGAATACACACACAATCAAATCAGCAACAACCCGAGAGAGGCACAAAACCTCCACTCTGTTTTCCCAAAAAATCCCATGAGACTCCAAGACCCTCATGGATATATGAGGCCCTCTCACAACACCTCAACAACACTTGCAACACAGGGTAACTTCTCTGTTTATAACCTAAAGACTGAAGATTTCTGTAGTGGTCACGAAATGTATTCATGTATTTCAGGAAATTTGATTCCTATTAAAAACAACTGTGCTCCCCAACTCAATTGTTACCATTTACTTGCACAGCTCCATATAGGTATTTCTCTAAATCACATTAATTTTATGGATTCTTAACAYTACTGTCCCAAAATCAGCTAGCTTCTAATACAGCCCCTCACAGAGGACTCTGACATTTACAGAGGRTCTCTACTCCATTTCTAACATTCCTAGGCAGCCTGTCAGAAGTAAAAAGTGCACCCAGAGCAGTGACAGCTGTGGAGCTTCCTGACTTCACGTACATGAATAAATAAGCATCAGTGTGGTGTTTTACTTTCTGTGAGTAAAAACCCCACAAAAATGGCTGCAGTTCATMATTTCAGGGCTGGGGATACTGCACTGACAGCCTCCAAAGTGCATAATTATTTTCTACAGGAGAAGAAAGTGTTCCATTGAGAGTGGTTTTTCCCACATACAAAACTGKTACCACTAAGAATACAAAGATGCCAAGAAGCTGCCAGCCAGCTGCCCCAAAAATGAAGTGTGCAAGGAAGCAACTCAGTCCTTTTCCAACTGACACCCGCAGGCACAGCTTGTTACTGCTCAATCCAGCTCTTTGTTTTCAATGCAGTCAACCTTGGAGTGCCTTTTTCTACAAAAGGGGTGAAGATGAGGCACAAACACACAGAGAGAACAYGCAAAACTTTCAGAGGAAGAACAAAATGCACCCTGCACAACTGAGAATGAAGACTCCTGCAGCCAACTAAGTGGAAAGGTTTAACACCATTCAGCAGTTGAAAYTGCAAGCAAGGGTTAGGCTTTGAAAAATAAAACCTACTTGCTGTGGAAGATTTACTGTAGGCAGAGTTAATACACTAAAAAATATACACACAAAAGAATATCCACAAAAAATCATCAGTTAAGAATTTCTAGACAAGGGCTTTCACAGGATATCCATATTTTCAAATGCCATAATCAGAATGAATTAAAAGCTAGAAACAGTGTCTTTCTTCACAAGAGGCTCAGTTTTCCTCAGAATAAYCACAGTTAAAGGAAAATGAGGTAGAAGAACCAAGAGGTGCATGCAAATGCCCTCTTTTTATTTGTAGTGATAGATTGTCAGAAAACATTAGTAACATGAAGAAAGATATAATGAAGGGCACTAATATCTTAAAGAGTCTCCACCTCCTCAGCATCTTGTCATTACTTTCAGAATACATTAAAAAAAAATTAGAAGCCAGATGTTAACCTTTGGCTAGGATGACCAGTGGGCATGAAGGAGGAAAGGATACCTGTTCAAGAACTAAAACTTGTTACTCTTCAATTAAGATGGCAGTTTATGAGACACTTAAAATATTAACAGGTCTGCCAGAAGAAAAGAATTAATATATATATATATATATATATAAATACGATCTTGATACAAACAATGAAACAGAACGCTTGCTTTCTCTATATCAAAGCAAGAATGGTCTAAAAGGTAGGTTTTGTGAGCAATCTACAAAGACCCATTAAAGCTTGGTAACATGACCTGTTGCCTTTTTTTGTTTGTTTTTAACCAAGCTGTGGGAAGAAATGAATGAAAAGTTTCCAGGCTGTGAAACAGCAGGAATTCATCAAGCCTGGAGAGGGCAGCAACATTAACATAAATTCAATAAAGAAAAAAACAGTACTCAAGATGGAATCACAGGGAGACTGGCAAAGGAGCTAAATTGTTTAAACAGTGTAAGAGGGCAGAGAACTGGTTCTCAGCAGCTTCAGTGTACACAGCCACAAGAGAGCAGAACTGTAAGAAGTTATTCTAAACAAATGCAAAGCTGTGCTTCTAAAATAACTATCCTTCAGATAGTTATTAAAATTAAAAAGAAAAAACAAGTAATTATTTAAATTACTTGAAATCAATATTTACTGCTTCTGAAGAAGTCCTGTCACTCAGGACTGCATGGGATCAGCAAGCAGCACTCCAGGCATACCTTCAAACTTGGCATTCACCATGACGTACAGGTGCTCCCTTGGATAGGCGCTCAGGTCCCTGGAGACAGCGTGTAAACTAATGGTGGGATAATCCAAGGAAAAGCCAACTCCCGAGTTTTCCAGCCAAGACAGACGACTAACAAGCGTGGGAAAAAAAGAAAAGACAAGTTAGAAACTAACAGAGGAATCCACAGCACCTGACTCGAGTTTGCAGAAAAGCAAACCAACCCCCAAAGTAATTGTGGACAAGGCACTTAGCCCACTCTAGAGGCATACACATCCTGGACCTGCCCAAAAAGGACTTTGTAACATCTTTAACTGATGCCAACTAAAAGACATTTTTGCTTAAAGAATGTGAAGCTAAAAACCCTAAAAGCATCACAGTTTTATCACATTTGCACTAAATGCTCTATTTCCCTACCTCTTAATTTTCTCCTCCTTGTAGATATTTATTATTCCAAAGATAACTACAGAGGTTCCAGAGTGTGATTTACAACTCAAACTATTAAATGTCATTTTCCAAGATAAAGAGAACACTGAAAGGCAAATCAGTATCGTAACTTCTAAAGGATTATAGATCTGCTGTGGGTATAGCCTGTATGCAGAACAACAGCCAGTACTGTGATGAGCATAGCCAGGTTATGGGTACTCCTCCACTCACAACTTAGGTGCTATGAACCCCCCATCTTCACTCTCACCCCTAACCACAGCAAGAGACAGCACAAGATGTCATCACCAGGCTGCTGCCTCCTTCATACCAGAACAATTGACATCTTTCTAGCCACTTAGAAATCCATCTCAAACTACATTTGGGTGCCTGTGATCAATGATGTCACACAGTGAACAGAAATACTGAGGGCCAGAAAGCAAGACCTTCATCATGTGCACAACTCAGCATTCACAAGCTTTTGTGGTGAGACAAAACTAATGGAAAGGTCACAGAAGACTCCCTGCCTCAGAAAATCTGACTGAGAATAAGAGCTAGTGCAGTGGGAACAAGGAATTTCTTTCTTAGCCTCAACTGGCCAGTCCCCAATGTTTACATTTACTAGTGGAGAGTCAGTACATGGATCAAGAGCCACACTGTGCTCCTGAGTGCCCCATTCACCCACGGCACTCCTGCAAACACTGGTGTTTTCTGTCCATTCCCTCCAAGTGACTCTGGTGAAAGCTCTGTGATGCACTTGAAACACGTGGTAAGGAAGCTGGCAGCCCTGTAGGTGCCTCACACAAAAGTCTACTGAAAGCAACTTACAAGGAAACTCAACATTACACGACCTCAGAGCAGACACCCCACAAACAGAAGTCCTGGTAGATGCAACCAAGCTAAATAAAACAGTAAAGAAAATTTCAGAGAGATTCCTCTCCAACACAACATCACTAATAAGCTCAGGTGGGGCAAATGCTCCTCCAGTATTGGCCATTTCATAAAGGTTTCCTAGTCTAAGGTTTTTGAAAGACAATTCACTCCTTAATGCACGTTTTAAATGATGTTTCTGCTCCAACAATGCTGTTCAACTGCAGAATACATTATGAGCAGCTCTCCACAGTTTACGAAAATTACATTGTCTTAATCACCACCCTGTCTCCCTGAGCTATACAATGCAGGGAGGATTGAAAGGAGACTATAAAGAGCTCAGATGACATCTTCCAGAATAACCAGACTGATTTCTGCCTATTAAGAACATACAGTCTCCACATGGAGACTGCATGGTTAATGCAACATGAAAGACTTCACAGAACCACAGCAGTTATTAACAGCAGAAAATAAACAGTCCCATCTATGCCCCTGTCAAAACAGAGGAGGAACCATGGTTTTAATTACAGAATGGTTTGGGTTGGAAAAGAYCTGAAAGATCATCTAGTTCCAATCCCCTGCCTTGGGCAGGGACCCCTTCTACTACATCAGGATGCTCAAAAACCCCATCCAACCTGGCCCTGAACACTTTCATGGATGGAGCATCCACAGTTTCTCTGGACTCAGAGTGCCTCACCCCCCTCACAGTAAAGAATTTCTTCCTGAGAGCTAATCTAACATTCTTTTTTCAATTTGGAGCCATTCCCCCTTGTCCTATCACTACAGTTCCTCTCAAAGAACCCCTCTCAGGTTCCCTGCAGGCCCCTTCCTGGGAGGTTACCATGAGGTCTTCACATGACCTTTTCTTCTCCAGGCTAGAAAGCCCCAACTTTCCCACCCTATCTTTACTTGGAGAGGTGCTCCAGTCTCTTACCAACTTTGTTGTGTCTGCTGGACTTGCTCCAAGAGTTCCAGGTCCTTCTCATACTGGGGACCCCAGAGGTGGATTCAGCACTCAAGGTGGGATTTCAAAAAGTAAGAAAGACAGAAACCCCTCCCTCACCCAGCTGGCCACGCCGCTTTTGCTGTGGCCCAGGATATGACCGGCTTTCTGGGCTGCAAGTGCACATTGCTCCATCATACTGCGTTTTACAGAATAATTTGAGTGAGAAGGAACCTTACAGCTATCTCGTTCCAAGCCCCTGCCGTGGGGGCAGGGACACCTGCCACTAGACCAGGCTGCTCCGAGTCCCATCCASACTGGCCCTGAATTCCCCAGCCGGCCGGGTCCCTGGCACTGCTGCTCCCTCTTGCCTCGTTTAAAACGAGCAGGAACAGCGTGATGCCCCGCAGAGCCTCCCCCACATAACGGCTCCTCATCCGAACGCCCCCTCCCGGGCCCCTCAGGGCCGTTCCGAGCAGCCCCGGCGGGTTCCCAGCGCCGCACGTCCCCCGCACCTCTCGGCGATGTAGAGGGTGCCGGTGCCCAGGCTGCGCCCGGCCAGCAGCGCCTCCGTGTCCTGCTGCTGGTGGCGGACGCCGTCGGCGGGTGGCGGGAAGCGCTTGAGGAAGCTCATGGCGCCGCCGCCGCCTCCCTGCTCCACCATCGCGGCCGCCGGAAGCGAGCGCGCCGCTCTGTGACGCAGTTCCGGCCCGGACGCGATGTCACCGCCGCGCTCCCGCAGTGGAGCGCTCTGAGTTCCACCGGGACTGCGGGCGGGGATGGGATTAAATCTTCCGTGTGGAAAAGAGGAGCAAAGGGAGCGCTGAGGTGATCGCTGAGGGCTGGAGCACCTCTGCTCCGGGGACAGGCTGAGAGCTGTTCTCAGTGGAGAGGCCTCCGGGGAGACCTTGCAGCCTTCCAGAACCTAAAGGGTTCAAGAGAGCTGGAGAGGGACTTTGGACAAGGATGTGACGGGATAGGACAAGGGGAAAATGCTTCAAACTGACAGATGGCAGGGTGAGTTTAGATACTGGGAAGGAATTCTTCCCTGTGAGGGTGGTGAGGCACTGGCAGAGGCTGCCAAGAGGAGTATGGATGCCCCATCCCTGGAAGTGTTCAGAGTCAGGCTGGATGAGCCTTTGAACAACGTGGTCTAGTGGAAGATGTCCCTGTCCATGTCAAGGGAACAGCTCCAACACAAACCGTTCTGTTTCTGTAACTGACAGTAACAAGACCAATCATAGAACCATTGAATATCCTGAGTTAGAAAGGACCCACTACGATCATCAAGTCCATCTCCCAGCCCTGCACAGGACACCCCAGGAATCGCACTGTGTGCCTAAGAGTGTTGGCCAAATGCTTCTTGGACTCTTACAGCTGTTTTAGCCTGTAAGTCTCTGTTGAACAGGTGACAAGAGGGAAAGACAAACACAGCAGCTTTTCAGTTTCCATTACTGGATGCTGGGAAGGAAATTCTAGGTGGGTGACCAGCACCCAGTGTCTCATAAATACATACAGAAAAGAAAACAAATCACAAGTACCTGAATTGCTTAAAGGGTATCCAGTTGATTTCCCGTAGGAGTGATGAAATTGGGGTCAAGAGCCCGACGCTGTGGCAGTAGCCGGTGACTGGGGGTGTCTCGGGTCAGCATACTGCAGTGGTGGGCAGGCACCCCGTCATCAGCACCGGCCCTGCTGCTCTCCCCAGATCTACACCATATCTCTTGCCACTGCAGTGAGAAACAGGGATTACTGATGCAGCAGTGAAGTACATCTCTGTCAGGACATGCTCCTGATAATGCCATCAGCAAGACAGCATCACAGTGAGACAGAATCATAAGACAGAATCACTGCAAACATCCTTTCTCCCTGACTTTGCAGGATGACAAATGCTCCTGTCATTGCAAGAGCCCATGCAAGTTGTTAGCTTGTCACAGACATTAATCTTCTCTTTCATCAGTTTACATTTACTTTTTAGGAATCGTTTACCTACCTGTGTGCAAACACAGGTTCTCATAAACATGAATGAATTATTAACAGTATTAGGTCTCCATCCTTCCCTTCCCTGGACTTTGCTAGCTACAGTCTTGGATAGCAAAAAGCAGAACATAATGTGGTTCTCTTAGGTTGATCCATTAACAATGCTTTGGAAAGCTGCTCAACCATGCATACTCATTTTGGTTTCTAATTATGCAAGTAATGGTTGCTCATACAAACAATCACCTAGAACAAAATGAAAGCAAATTCCACAATGAAGTGATATTTAAACACCACTGGAATAGCTTGAAAAAAAAAAAACAACAGAGGCAACAGGAGATGAAGAAAGGGGGATTTCTCAACCATCTTCCAGTTTCCCACACCAAGACAATTGGTCAACTGGAAACAAAAGTTTACAGTTCATCCATGAATACAGATCAGACTCTGGCAGCTGGTGAGAAGAGATCCAAACACACAAAAACACCATTCGCTACACTTAGTGGTTATAAAGCAATATTTCTGTTCATGTCCATCCCCTCTTACCTAATATGGCTGTCACATCAGCCACAGAGAGTTCTCACCACCTTTGTAGTTAACTCCAAATCACACAATAGCTTCAGGTCATTATAAATTAAGATTTCTGAGTGTTTGGGTTTGAATTATTGAAGGTAGAAGCACTGCAGTGGAGCAATACAGAGTTCCCTTTCTCCTCCTGGACACAAATGCAAGTCTTCTGTGGCATACCACTGTTCCAAAAGAAAATGAGAAAAGGATGGTTTAAGCCCAGGCAGGAAGCTGGTTTTGAGGATGAGGCATTAAAGGAAGAGGAGAAATTCACATCTTCCTTGTTTACATGATTCAGACACTTCATACCAGGAGTAGTGAGTGCTGCACCTAACAGAAGCTTAGAGTGGGAAGGCAGACATTTCCTCTAGGTTTACTAATTGAACAGAATGTCACTATCTGAAAACCCTTTACTTCAGCAGTAAGAGCTTTAAGAAGTGAGTTAGGATCCAGCCCCACACCAGCACCTGAACCCTGGATGTCCAATGTGATTTAATCAACCAGAGCCCTATTCAGAGGCAACAGAGAGCAGCAGGTACCTTCAAAGGGTTAAGAGTCACCTTAGGACAGAAGGCAGGACTCACCATCCAGGGGAGCTTGTTTCTCTCCATTGCCTGCCATAAGGTGGCCACTGCAAACTTACATACCCAGGATCTGTTAAAAAAATGGAATCGTAAAATTTTGGCAGCAGATTTGGAGCAAGAGGATGGATTTCACAGCAATTTCTCACCACTACAGGAACACACAGCAGCTTGACTCCAACCACAGAGAAATTCAAAATAAAGACTGACAGGCTTCAGCAATTCACACTGAGAAGCCACTCTCTTCTGATTTGTCTCTCTCTCCCTTTCTCCCGTTAAAGTCCCAAAATATCATCCACGTCCATATCCATTGCCAAGTGTCAGAACATCTGCTTCTTCAGCGCGTCTCTGCAGGCTTCCATTCTTTCCCCCATTTTATTCCAGGCTTTACACATCTCAGCCCAAATACATGAAGCTGGCTCCTCTGTCAGGAGGACCATGTAGAAATTTCATGGATGTCTGCTGGAACTGCCTAGCTGGGTACGGTGCTGGCTGCAGGCCACTGGTTTTTGAAAAATGATGCAACATCACTATTAGATTAGATATAAAAATTATATAGAAGATGGAACACAAAAAGAAAACCATTGTGACTGCAAAAATAAATCCATCAGGTCATCCCCACCATTAGCCAGAGCTGCTCAAAGAAAGAAAGACTGTGTCAGCTGAGCTACCGTAACAAAACCAGCATAAACCAGGAGTTACCCATTCCCATGAGAGGCAATGACACGATCATGGGCTGGAACAATACATAGCAGCCGTTACTCTGTGTTTGCTTTAAAACTGAAAAAAAAAAAGATACGTGCATGTGTGATGCCCATTAAAAAGCACTTATATCTGCAATACACATTATACTTTGTACATCAAGTTATTTCAATTTTTTATTATGACAATTTACATGTCATATTTATATGAAAGAAATGACAGTAGATATTATAACAAAACCATTATGAAAGAAAAGTTACACAATTAGGCCTACAAGCTATAAAATGGCTTTAGGCCCAGCTTATACACAAAGAGTTCTGACCAGACTGTAGTGAGAGACAACGCTGAACAATTCATTAACAAAAATATTGGCACCAGCCTTAACATTTTTTCTTACTTCATTTACAAGAAATACAGTATTTAAACAGTTGTGTACTGCAAATCTAAAAACATTAGCTGTTAATAAACTGCAGTTAACCCTTTGAACACTATGCCACCATGACTTCCATTTAAAAAAGTTTTAACGCAGCATGTTTTACATGCATGTGATATTACCAGTGGGAGGGAAAAAGACAGTGAAAGCACCACCCAATTTGTGCAACAAGAATAACGCTTCCAGTTTTTTCAAGGTATCTCCCCCCTTTCCCACACACAATGTGTCCCCCCCCCCCCCCCCCCCCCCCCGGGTCCTTTCCCTTTGATATTGTAACAAGTCATGATTGAAGAGAGACTGAAAAGAATAAGGTTCAGGACTCAAAAAATGCAAGGATTAAACCCTACGTAAAGAGCTCAGCTTGTGGAACTTCACTGTGTTAATTCTTTAGAGAAAGAAAACAAAAAATGAGGCCAGCTGTGGAAACCATTTTTAAGGAACTCAAGGTGTCTTTGCCAATATACAAACAGCACACAGGATTAAGACAAAACTGTATTTCATGTAAGCATATCTTAAATTTTAAGAGACCTATCTGGCAGATTTGATCCAGTTCTCAAAAGAATACTGGAGTGTAAGCATCCACCTGGGACACCGAGAATCCCCGATGTTTGTACAGGATCTGTGCCTGTGTGAGAACTGCTGTGCATCCAGGAACAGTGACACTGTGTGTTTGGATCAGTCACATCCATCTCCTGGCTGCAGCAGGAGAGCTGTGAAACGCGGGCAGGAACCAGCAACGGCATTTGGCAACACGTCGGTTTAATGCCAGTAACGGGGAGGAGCATCCTTTGAATGCATATAGGATAGGAATAAGATACTGTACAAGATTTTAGAGTCCATATAACAAGCACAAAATGGAAAACTAAAAAAGGCTAACAGCTTTATGATTTTACTTCCTTTTCTACCACTACCTTGAGTAGCAGATTAGTTTCTATTAAGGACTTTTACCTGTTTTAACTAACAAATACTGCACTGTAACTAGACCTATCACAGGTTTTCGTAGAAGGACTTTATCCCTGTAGAATCACTTAAGTCCTGACAGACTGACCCAAGTTCAGTTGTGTGGGACAGAGTAAGAGGAACAAACAGGAAAGCAAACTGTGCGGACTCTGACCATCATCCCTAGACGCAAACGTTGTCATAATATTCAATGGACTGATCCTAATTTTTTTCACATCCACATTGCACTGAAGGAGGAACATTATCTATTCCCTCCAGGAAGAAGACATCAACTACATTTTCCAGTTACTTTGCAGAACAGGATAAGAAAAGGAGGGTATCGGGATGATTCTCCTAAATGGAGACCTTCCTTTGGAAATCCAGCCTTTAAAGGGCAAGTCACAAGTAGTTTCTAGGTCTGTCCAAGACCTGTCTTGCAAATGGGATAGGTTTGCATACACACTATTCCACTCCACTTCCCTCCATCCATTCCCCATCTGCCCCTGTTATTGGAACGAGCATCCAAACAGCAGGAGCGAGTGACTCGGTCTGCACCTGGGGAACCAGTGAGACTGACTATACACAAAGTGCTGCAAAGTGCACGAAGTAAACCAGCCAAGCAAACGGAGCTGCACCGTCACTCAGCTCTTGTCAGCAACCTTTGGGGTTGTATGGAACAACAGCACATCTATTGGCAGGCAACATGCCCCTCTAACTGCAATGCTGCCCCCTCTCCTGCTCCTCAGCTCAGGTATGGGGCGCCAGCATTTACAAGATGATAGTCAAAAACCCAAGTTATAAGACTTGCTTTTAATTACAGTTGAATTGGGAGGCTTTACACCACAGATTCAACTATTAAAAATTACCTACTTTAAGAGTGTTATATTCTTTCACCCAGAAGCTTTACACAACCTTTTTTTCACTAAGCAATATACATCTTTTGCGATATACAAAGTAAGTTAAATTACTCTGAAGTGTTGGGACAATTATTACCTTTTTGTTGTTTGGAACTATCTCAGTTAGTTACACTTAATCTAAAAGAAGAACTTAGTAAGTGATGTGACTATTGAAAGTGACTACTAATCCTCAACATCCCAACTGCTGGGTGTCCAGAAATAATTTCCAAGTGGTAAGTATTTCTGAAGCCAGAGCTCTCTGTGAGGTCTCAGATTGGGTAAGGAATCAAAAATTAGTCATAGAATTTTTCTTACATCAGGATATATCAGAAAAAAAAGTATTTCTGCCTTTTAACATTTTAAATAAGATGTAGTGCCTGCTCCAGCTGTTAGGGGAGAAAGTAGAGACTACCAAGAAATGTGGTCTTGACCCTGCAAATCCTTACTTCTGACAATATCCTAAATGCTTCTATGGAAGTTTGAAACACTTACAGAATTGCAAAATTCTAGTGTTTTTCCCATCATATTCAACATAATTTCCCCCCTGAAGTTACTGTTTTAAGGTACTTGATCTTCTACATATATTCATATATATTTAAGGATTTTATATACCCACCAAATCAGAAGGATACATCAACTGCAAATACATACCTAGGGTGCACACTGCACATCAGAACCATATCACAAGTCTGTGAATAGTAGTCACTGCACATGTCTCAAAACCAATTTTCAAGGCCTATATAAAGCCTTTTTTAATTAAGTGATACAAATCTCTTTGTCAGACCAGTTCTGGGGGCAAGCATTACTGGCCATGATTCATTTAAATCACTGTGTAAAGTTAATTTTAAAAAGCAGGTGCCGTAAAAATTCCTTATTTACTTTTTGTAAAAGAATTTTGTAAAAAGATGTGATTTGAAATCATTGGAAGGTTTACACTGGAGCTTCCTACTGAAGAAAATTGAAATCTATAAACACCTGAAAACAGAAGTATAAAATGGATCCCCTGAAAATGAAGGATAATTTTAACGAATTAAAATTATTAAACAGTTGCAGCATCTGGATACCAGTGTAATTCAAATGATAGATGTGAAGAGAAATCAGAACAAGTGTAATGCTACCATGCAGTTTTTCTTTTGTGAATATACATTTTTTGCCTAGAGCTTCTTAATGTAAGGCCTCTCACCAAGAGTTCAGACACAGCAGTCAGAAAACAGAAGTGAACAGAAAACAAATCCAACTATGCCATTAGCTCCCATAATATGGAGAATAAACAAGACACTTAATACAAAGAAATGTTGGTGACACTTGAAAAATGAGCTTTTCAGAAAAAAGCATCTGTTTCTCTCAAGTGCTGCTAGAACAGAGCAATCTTTTCATTCAAAAAATAATCAGGAAGATGCAGTGATTTTATAAAGTAATTCAACATGTACAAAATGAAAGTATCAAAGAGTCGACTGTTCAGCACTGACCTTCCAAACTAAGGGTTGTTAAACGTGATGTCATTTTCCATTTTATATCAAGTATATGTTCAGTTTATCAGACTCAACCACTAGAGGAACCACTCAACTGTAGTGAAACCAACCCAGTTGTTAATTCTATCCCCCTTCTGCTCAGATTAACACACTCCGTTCATTATTAGAGTGGCCCTGCCTGTGTGCTTTGTGTGGCTGAGTCACAGAAGCCCCACGCAGAGAAGCAAACAGCCAATGTTTATCCTGGTGACACAAAAAAATCCTCTCCTCCACCTGATTTGTACATTCTTCTTCCCAGCAATGCTACTTAGACTACACATAGAAATCAGCTCTCCTCCCAATCAGCAAGAAGAGCTTGCAAGTCAAAAGAAGACAAAGCTTTTAGTGACAACCTGCGTGGAATAAACAAGAGTTTGCTGAATAAATGCTTTGCATGTTCAGCCAGTAGCTGCTTGTTCTCATTAAAAACAATCCCTGGCCTGTTTCCCCTGTTTCGCATATGGTGTGAGCTTTAAGCCAAAGGTACACGTGAAGATCACTAAAGACAATTAGCTTCTGATCTCACACTGAGCACAGAAGGGCACAAGACTCTAAGGACACCAGGAAGACATTTTCACTCTGGAATCACATGTATGTACTTTAACAGCATGAACCCTGTCTGATTGACAGCCTCGTGTCACAAAATGTATTTGGGAAGATGACAAGACTGTACATTTTCCATCAAGCAAGAAGCCTTAAACATGAGAAAATTACCAAGTTTTAAAACGGTAATGCTTTCCAGAGCAGTTTTTGCAGTTTTTCCTTGCACACCATTCCCACTGATCTAAGGATGAACTCTAGACCCTGTGGGATGAAGCCATCTCAGGTACAAAGGGTGACTTCTTAGAGACAGAAGAGTTGCTTTGGAGAAGTGACCTATAGAAAGTAATATTTCATAACAACTGGCTGTCTTTAAAACATGACACTTCTGATGCAAGATTCAGTGCTCCTATTTTGCTTCCTGTCCTTTCCTGCTTTTACATGGCTCTAACTCAGTAATCTTTTCTTTTTTCCCCCATTGATGTATCCAGTATTGTAACTTGTTTGTATTTTCTTAACTACACAATTACCTGCCCACTAAGTACGTAGCATTTGGAGTTGACTCTACAAGCTAGAATGTTTGATCAGATACTAAAAGGCTCCATCAGGCAGCACAGAAAAATATGGCACTGCCAAAACAAATGAGGAACCATCAATTGCACAATGTTGCTGCATGTCAAGTATTAAAAATGCTCAGCAGCTACTGCCATGGACAAGTGGAAGCCTTATGGTCTTACTTGTTGTAAAATACAAGTACATTAGAATTTAGAAACATAACATTTACGTATCACCTAGGTAAAGAAAAGCACTAGAGTAGCTTAAAACGCTACATATCCTTTAAGAACTCATTCTAAGCTTCTGTGGCTCCTCACTACCCCATTTTAATAATTTAACTGTTAATTGTTAACATCTGTAAGGTAAGAAAACATTTAATCTTTGATGAAATTGAACTGCCATTTAGAGAGTGATTTCTCTTGGTTTCAAATCACAAGCTTGCTTAGCACAGCAGATAATGAGCAAGTTCCATGTTTTTGCATCTTTCTGATCCTGGTTTTATAGCATGATATGTTCACTGCTGGAATCCAAACAAGTTGGAGTCATGGAGTAGTTCTGACAGACCTTGTGGAGAAAGAGGTGGGGAAACAAAACCAAGACTTTAAAGGCCAGAAAGTAGGTAAATTTTGGATATAGGTTTTCTAGAGAGGTATTTAGTAAAGGCCTAATGCTGGTTTTATTACAAGAAAACAAGTGCTTAATGACTGAATAGTAAATACAATATAATGGAAGGGAATCAGGTGGGGCAGGAAAGGAGAACTCACTCCTCAGTGGCAGCAGCAGTTTTGGTGCATCCATTGCCGGCAATGGACATAAACACCAGCCAAAAATCCAAATCTCAGAGCAAATGGATTAATAGATGTGACCTCTTTGGATTTCAATGTTTGGCAGATCTATTTGAGCTGTCTGTGTCCTGTAACATGTACAAATGCTACAGCCTGCATCTTAATCAGAGTAAAGAGAAAACTGAATGCTCTTGATGCGCCCCATGTTGATTTGGTGGGGTTTTTATTCTTCCATTGTCTTTTTTTTGTCCCTTGAATAAAAGCATGTATCACTTCATGCTCGCTCAAAACTTGATGTCTTGGAGTTAAGCGTTTTCTCTCAGAAACTCTGCCTTATTGAAATCAGTTGGTCACGTGATAATTATTAAAATGTATTTTAAGAAAATTCTAATGGCCAAAGGCCAACAACTACATTCAAAACCTGCTAATACATCCAGGCAGATAAGTAAAACCAAAACAAAAACACACACAAACCCCAAACAGGAAACCTCCAAAAGGAAAACTGTTCCACTTGTTTACTTCAATTTGAAGTAGATATTAAGGGCATGAATGGACCAGTCATGGTTTATTGAAAAATCCCTCCATCCTCTGATGCACTGTCATTCTGTGGTCAATGCYGTTTGCACAAACACATTTTGTTCAGAACACTCCAACAGATGGTAAAACTCGCGGGGCCGGGCAGCGACTGCAGGGTTCTTTTGTCTGTAAAAGTTTGCAGTGCTTACAAACTTATTTGGCATCCAATTTATAGACTAACTTGACATCGATACTTTTTCCCACTAGACACTGTGCATTGAAGGCCATCTGATGAACTGAGATCACTTTAGAAATTCATGGCTAGAGTGTTTCGACTGTCAAAAACTTCATTACAGTACACTTCACTGTACAAACACTTTAAAGGATGTTTATTAGGAAAGTCTGCAAGTCATAATGGATAAGAGTTCTTGTTTATGGTACCTTCTTGGCCTCTAATAATTCTGTTTGCCTCCAGTATTAAAATCAAACTGCTTCCATGAAGGTGATTACTAAAATGAGCTATGGTATGTTAACCTACAACTCACAAAATGCGACAGTACAGACATTAATTTTGCTTTTAACTGTCTGTTAAGTTGTAATCTAAGTTGTGAACATTTAAATATAATATATATCTCATGAAAAAGCTAAAGCACAAGTGCTTCTGCACCACCCCCCTCCCATCCCCCCACCCCTTGAGCCAAACCCACCCCAGCTCCGGTTTGGGCCCTGACTGATTTGGAATGCTTTCTTAGGCCACCCATTTCCACAAATTTGTATGCACTCAGGAAATATAAAGTCAAAAATATACAAATCTCTTGTTGTTATAAGGTTTTTGTGAGTGAAATTACCCAGGACCACGGACTTGGAAGGAGAAGGGGGGGAAGAGAGGGAATTTACAGCAATTTATCTTCAAAGTTCAAAACTGGTCACTTCACAGAAAGACTGCAGGACTGGTGAAATTCTTGCTTCTAGAAAGTGATACTGTAGTGGAGAATTTTCTAGGAAAAATAAAACAGCTTTTAATAACTGGCCCGCTGGTATGAGCTACCGTGGAATAAATTAGCACAAAAATGGAAGTCTTATAACTGTTCACTGTTACAGACATAATCAACAAGATCAGTCACTCTCAAAAGTTCATCTTCATCTTCCTCTGGCCCTACTGCTTCCTGCCCACTCCCTGTCCCATTGGGTGCCAGGCTGGCGCTGGCTGTGCTGTCCTTGGGGGTCTGGGTCTTCTCACTTGGCTTGCCAATCAAGTTCTCAATGGTTTTCCCTGGGCTCTGTCCATTGGTGGAAGGCAAATCCACCAAGCTGTAGTCCAAAGGGCTCTCCACTTTCCCTACATTATCAAAGTCATCTTCATCATCACTCTCTATCCGGTAGCAGTGCTTCTTGGGGTTATCTTGGGGGCCTTGTGCTGCTGGCAGCTTATCTGCAGGAGCGGGGGTTTCTGCATCGTCGTTTGTGTTTTCGCAGGCATCTTCCTCGTCGGTCTCAATTCGATTCAGGCGTTTACGGACAGGCTTCCCTTCTTCCTCCACTTCCTCTCCTTCCTCGGAATAGTCCTCCGTACTCCGCCGACGTTTTCGAATCAATCGCTTTGACTCCTTTGTGGATTCATCATCTTCAGAGTTCTTAGATGTGTAGCTCTCTGGAAGAAGCAGCAGACTTAGAGCCATTAGCAAATCTCACAACATTTACACTTTATTTTTCATCTTTCATACTCATTAATATGCCAGCTCTCTCTCTCAGAGCACACACATTTCTGTCTCCTTCTCCAGGTTCCCCAACCAAGCCAAAATGCTTGCAATCATTTTATTTTTTAAATAAACTCCAAATGTAGCAAGTATCAACCATTTATGGATATTATGTTTCCAATCTGAGCAGTACCAGAGGCTTTGGAAGGAGCTGTGTTCTCCCCTAGAACTGGTAACKCCATGCTGAGAATAGTAGAGAACTGCATTCCTCACCTCACAGTACGTGCTTTATTTGCACCCGGACAGAAATTCAGAACCCAAATAACGGCTGCCCTATCATAAAATTCATATGTATACACACATACAGAGTGCTGTACTATACCCCTGCTACCCCCAAATTATATACAACTTCTCAAGTTAAGAAATGCTGTCTGTCACCTGAATTTTGCYGCTCTTTAATGAGAGGCTTGCTTTTTTGGCAAACTGAAATATTGTCTACCCACTGACACCCTTTACACTCTTCTTTGGATGGTTTTGGTGAGAACAGCTGGAAACTGAAAAATCAGATGGCAAATATAATTTGTTGTCTCTGTGATTTCTATTAGAAATCATGTGAATTTTTGTTTTAAAGGGTATTATTTAATGTAGGTTCAAGTTTGTAGAGTCTGTCTGTTCYTCTATTTTCAAAGTAAATACAATTCCAGTAACGCTGTTACGTATTTCATGATATACTGTGGGAACTGTGGTGCTAAATGGCGCTGATTTTAATACATGGAAAGCCAGTACCACAAATACTTAATGAAATGGGATTTCATGAAGAAAAGACAATATCAGAGAATGTTTAAAGTCACTAGTGCTGGCAGGAAAAGGCCACCATATAACAGATCCCTGGGAACAGGTTGTATTGAAAGACCATGTTTTTGAGATACTACACACTTGCATCACATGCTTGTTTCCCTTCACCTAAGAGGATACATTTACACTCTGTAATCTCAGGACAGTCCTTCCAAAACTGAGGTGCTTGGGCTGTCACAAATGGCTAATTTTTAGAAGAAGTCTGGCATCCATTGCAACCCACACTGCTCAGCATTCAGAAAGCCAGACCTAAGGTCTCAGAAGACAGGCACCACAATCCAAAGCACTCAATGTCAGTGGCTGGTTTTGTAAAAGCTAATTAATTATAATTGTAAAAGCTAATTAATTATAAAACACAAAGCACCCCATATCACTCATGGTGCGACTGACATTACTGAGAGGCTTCCTCTGCACTTTGCACAGCTCCTTAAACAGGAGATGCAATGAGTCTGAACCACCAGCACAAATACAGGGCAGTGCCCTTCCTCTTATATAAGAGAACATATAAAGGCTCATGGGATTCACCTTTGTGACCTCTTAACAGAAAAGTGGTAAAAGAGTTGCATTAGTGCCAGTTTTGGAATCCCAGCACTCTGTGCCAGGTGTAGTAAATTCATACCTGGAAGTCAGGATTAGGGACAATCATGATCTTGAGAAGTGATTCAGTACCAATGGGCTGTTTCAGAAAGAAACAGTTTCTGAGAAACATGGAGGAACTCTAGAAAGACAATTCTGTGAAATCTCAGAATTATATAGCTTTCCCTTCATGCTAGTAGCTCCTGGAAATGCTGGACTGTTTACTTTACCTTCACTATCTGAAGTGGAGAGCCTGCGTTTATGAACTCTTCTCAACTCCTTCCCATATCGGACACTTTTCTGTGAGCCATCACTTTCTGAATCTTCCTTATAATTAACTTGTCTCTTCTGATTCCGTCTTGATCTTCTCCTCCTAGTTTCCAGGTAATCATCATCACTGTAATCTGTGTATTCACCACTCTCTGTAAAGAACAAAACAGTGATGTGCATTACTCCATCAAAGCAAAACTGCCTCACACAAAAAATTTAAATACATTTCCGAATCTAAATAGTTCTCCTTACAGTATTTTTGTTGTCTCATCTCTACTGGTGTCAAAGATGTCTCTACAGTTCCTGACAGTGGAAGCCACCTTATTAAATTGTAGCTGATGGTGCACGTTACCAGTACCTCGGGAGAGTCTGTTCTGCTTTTAAAATTTAAATAGATTTTACTCTACTAGAAGACTTTTAAGAACAGGTAGATGAAAAACTGACAAGATGAAACTCCAAGATCTGAGTTACATGAGTTATCAACAAAAATCAGTTGCACCCAATGGTAGTTTTGTTTAAAACAGAAAACTATACAGAAGAAACTTACCATCAATCACAGTTCTTCCTGCACCAGTCTACTGCAGCTAGGGTCTTSAAAAATTAAATTCATTTACATCAGTTGAAAATAGCCTCAAATCAACTTCAACTGCTTTTCACTGAACTATGCCAGAACAATTATCCCAAGATACATTTCTATAAAAGTCACATACTGTTCCTAAGTTAGTGATTGACATGMGTCACAGATCAAGGTGGCATCCTCTTTACTTCCAAAAAAATAGACAAAGAATCAGAGCAAGTCAGCAAGAACAACTGGCTTAGGAAAGAAATTCCATCTCTGGAGACTGAAAATAAAACCACTGCAGGCACCTGATTTCCTTAGCTCAAAACAGGCTTAAAGCAGGATCCTGATGGACAATAACTAAGGGTAAGAGAGAAACACAAAGTTAAGATCATACTTTTAGATATATATGGAGTAATACTTGATTTCATCACATATGTGTGTCCACCAGGAAACAAACAGTTGCTCCTGTGCATTACAGAACAGATGAGCAATCTCTTTAGACTTCTGCCAGTATTGACGACAGGGAGAGCAACCACTCTAACCACTCATATAGTTGACTTCATTTGTCCATGCAGGAACCCTTCTTCTGCAAATCAGTACTCCAGAGCAACTTACTCAAAAATGTTCATTATCTGTATTCTACAAAGACAGATAAAAACTGGAAAGATAGCACACACTGCAGTAAGTTAACACTCCAGTACAGTTTGAACCTTAAATTCATAATAAGAAAAAATGAATTCTCTGTGTATGGTAGTTTCTAGTCTATGTCTCCAATGAAGCAGAAATAAGGAGGACAGTCTTCAGAAAAAGATGCTGATCATGAAAAGGTGAAAGTATTGCACAGGTACTATTCTCGCACTTTAAACAGTGCCAACAGAAAATGAAGTGGTTGAAGGACAAGTAGAATAAAGTGAATTATTAGGTTCTCCTGTGATGCAAATTACTAAAAATTTAAAGGACAGTTACTAAAAATTTAAAGGATAGTATCAGGAGAGAGAGATTCAAGGTGTTTTTCTCTGTTTTCAAGCCTCCCAAAAAACACAGAATGCCATAMAACTGAAGTTTTCTTAAATAAAAGTGAGGGAAAATGTTTCTTTCAGAAACTTCTTCATAGGTGTGTTCAGAAAGTCTTCTAGTAGCTATAAAGAAGCACATTTTTGTCTCCAGTCTCTTTCCTGTAATCATGTTTCGAATAGGAGAGGTACAGAGGTAGCTGCAACTACCCACAAAGGYGGCTTCTAGAATCATAACACAAGCATTTATTTAAATACATAATTACTGAGAAATGCCAAGAACCTAGTATTCAATACCAGYTCCCTGAAAAATACTGACAGCAGAATAAGTAGCAAAGTGCTTTGCAGCAASATTACATCTGACTTGACCAAAGCAAGCAAACAAGTTAGTGTCAGTTGTGACAGGAACTCAGACTGCMACACTTCCTCTCTCCAGAACAGAGTATATAAAATATCTAAGATTGCTTATACTCACCAGACTCTCTGCTTGAATTGTCCTCAGAATCTTCATCTTCATCATCTTCAGAGTATTTTTTCTTGACTGTTTTCCTTCGTAACCGCCTGCTTTGCCTCATGGGCCTGGAAAGGTGTCGCCTGGATATGCGGGCGCAGAATTCAGAGTCACTGTCCTCATTTGATGGTGGGTCATCTTCACTTTCATCCAGATTTTCCTCTGATATAACAAACTCATCCTGAGATCTGTTCAAAGGAAAACCCCAGACAACAGAGATAGGCATGAAAACCAAAGGATTGAAATAGTACTTGTATCTTACAAACAAGTGATAAATATCGCATTACACAAAACAAAACAAAAAGCACAAATCTTATAATGAGGAATAAAGATCCAGAGAGAAAGATGCCACTACTGACAGGAGGTTTCAACTGTGTAACTGGGACATCACTCTACAGTGCATGACATTACACAGCAGACTAGAACAAGAGGTGGATAAACACTCTGTCAAACCAACACTGCAGGTGGCATTAACATAGATTCTAGAGCGTTCATACGGTTCACTGCAATGTCTGCACAGCAGTAACTGTGGAGGGAAAAAAAACCTACCATGTTCTAGCAAAGGTGACCTTTTCTTCACAAACCCAGCACTGTCCCACACAATTTCTGAGAATGTCTTGACACAAAACTATGGCTCTAATGTAAAACATGCACCTCAACACCTTATAAACTTGTAACATTCCTGTAATTTCAAGTGAGCCAGGGCTTTTTTTAAAAACCACTGAGCACTAAAGGTATGTAGTCACTTGCATTTGGCTCCCAGCCAAATCTATATTCCGGTGTAAGATCCAGAAGGCCCTAAGCAGAGGATGGGGTTGAAAATGCACGAGTACACTTTAAGAGATCAATGCACTATTAATTCTGTGACATTTCCATGCACAACACTCATTGACTGGAAATTTCCAGCATATGTAGCTCAATTAYTCAGGGTTCCACTGAAATGTCCTTAGCATGGTCACAGGTGAAAAACAGCTCAAAATTTCCATCTATCTTGTACAGATTTTCCATACASTTAGTAAATTGACTCAGTGATTGGTGTAAAGCTTTAAATGTTGCTGGCAAAGAGACTACAGCCTCATGCTTTATGATGTTGCTTCACTGAGGCATATAGTTAATGTAAAATGATCAATGTTTTTAACATCAGTAATTGCCCAGASTGAATGATGAGAAATTCTGTGGAAAGTCAGTTTCAGTTAGCCAGAGCAATATTCATTTAGAGTTTAAAGCTTCATGTAACACATCTTTGTTTTCTATAGTATAAGTCACTTCTTTCACTGTTTTCAAACTCTTATCTCCCACAGAACAGCAATCAAGAAATTATTTCAGAATCTGCCTGTCAACTTCTGTATGGTATAAATAATTAAAATTTTCCTCTTCCAATTTCTAAATTATAATCAGGCAAAAAAAAATCCTATAAAATAGGAATTTCCAACTCCTAGTTTTAAAAGGAAACAAACAACCTCATTTYAGCTACATTTTTAAAGATTTCTGCTTGACATTCACATCAGCCAGGGAACTGAGCTCACATGGCTCCTTCATCAACAGAAGYCTGTTATGAGGCCTGAAACATCCCAGTAACATTTCCAGAATGTGTTATACTTAAAACACAATGGGATCGTGTCAGCACATGGATCCAGAGTGCAGTTTTCCCAGTACAATGACATTCCCCTAGGCCAGGAGGATCCCACAGTAGYGRGTTTGGAACTGGGTGATCTTTAAGGTCCCTTTCAACCCAAACCATTCTACCATTCCGTGACTTTAACTGGCACTGCGCAGTGCCAGTCCAGCACAGTGAAAGCGCTCCTGATGATCACTTCAGGGGCACTGCAGAGTCACAGAAGCCTGTAGACGTCAGTAACTTATGGTGGAAGTTACACTGCAGACCTACCCATCACTGATTTTGAATTCATCCTCACTCTCTTCTTCATCCATGTTACTGTCACTATCCAAGTCATTTAGTCGCCGTCGTTTCTTGCGCCGTGCAGCAGCAGCCCTTTGTGGTCGCTTGTTTTCCTTCCTTTCTTCCTCTAGGATTGTGGAAATGTCTTTTCCACGGTGACCTGTGATATTTGACATGTCTTTGCCTCTGCCAATGCCTGAATTCAGTGACAGGAAGYGGAAACAACAGCAAGTTTATTTTCTTGTTTAACTTTACAGATCTCTTTTGCATGTGCCTAATTTCAGTTTATTTTCTGCAAAGCAGAATATTCTTTTCTCAAGCAAGACTCCGCCCAGAGTCTGGCTCCTGACACACACAGCCCAGCTGTGGTCACTTGGAAATACTGAGGTCCATGCAGAAGGTCATGGTTAAGTGTCAGCATTCTGATGCTCAACCCCAATCCACATTATTACCACACCAGTGCCTTTTGAGAAGGCAATTATCACAAAACACATTTTTTCGTAATGCTGAATATCATTCYTAGGAGAGGAAGTGTTTGAGTTGCTGTTTGGCCAGGAAGTGTAGTTTTTAAAAAGCTGATTTAGTGTTGAGACTTGATTATGTTTATTGTAATGGACTTTGTGTTACACATGCACAGACACAATTTTCAGATTGTCTGTATATCCATGAAAACTGAAAGCTGTTGAGCATGTGGAGATCCCACAGGCCAAACAACCGAAGGAGAATGTTTCATGGCCGTTTTCTCCAGGAAAGTTAAGGGAATGAAGAAGCATAAATCTACCTCCATCCCGCAGACAAAGCTGATGATCATCTCTGCTTTGATCCCATGTTGCCTTGACAGGCAACRAAGAACACAATTTCACTTTACTCACATTCAGCTGACAAGTGCTTATAGAGATGGATAAATACTGTTACAACTCAGTACACCCAATCTTTATGGGGTCCAAATGCAGACAACAATTTGTGAGCCCTCTTTTTACAGGGAACAAATATCAATAGCACTGCTGCCAYTCTAATCTCAAATCCAAAACTTACTCATTACATTTATAAAAATCTGTACAGGCTGAATTTAACTATCAACTTTTACTAATTTTCTCACATCTTTTAGCAGCATGGGATGGCCATTCCTAAGGGAAATTATTTAGCTCATCTCCAAAAATACATAAGTAAAAAAAGCCCTGACAAACTACAAAGTTTAAGGGGAGAGGATTATATTTGTTTCTTCTCATTACAAAATAAATTTGGTCTCCATGTTCTTATCACCATTGCACTAAAAAACAAGTAACATCAAAAACATACCTCCTCCATCAGCCTCTTTGATATCATCTTCAATTGCCTCATCAATTGCCTCATCAAATTCATCAAACCTAAAAATAACAGCTTTCATTTACCACTTTGAAGTGAATCTTAATTAAATTGTTATGAAAACATACCTCAGAATCTGAAGAATTGCACAGACACTGGGTTGGATACATAATACATTAACTAAGATAATGGGCCAGATTTTAAAAAAATGACTGTTTTATTATCAAAGTTGTGCTCCTTATTTCTATTTGCTAGCAGATTATTTATCATTGTCTATCTTACTATTGAGTTATATGAACAGAAAACCCTTTCCACTTTACACAACATGTCTCTGAATTAACAATATTTAATCTGAAAGTTGTTTAAAATACTTTTAGTGGCATTTTCACACAAAGTATTAGTC